TTATTTCTTTGGGATAGTGTTACTAGGCATGAGAAGTGCCTTGTGAAATATTTTCAGCCCCAATTCACCAAGAAAAATGTCAAGGACTGGTCCAGGATGATTGCTCTATGCAAAATGTACTTTTATTGTGGACTTTTCAAGTTATACCAAGTGCAAATTTATTTGCTATCATGCTATGTCTCAGGCATTGTTTAAAAGACATCCTGAGTCTCCATGGACCAATTCAAAAGGATGGTAGCATTTTTTCTTCTTTCAGAAAAGATGGACCAATGCTGTAGATACTTGTTTACTTTCAGAAAAACTCTAAAAATTAGCTTCTACAGACATCATGCAATGTTCATTTTGACATTTCTACCTACCTTTTGTGTTATACACACTACAAACATTGATGGGGAGTCATTTCACCTCAATCCAACAAATATATTGAGTTAAAAATACATAAATGGAAAACAAGTTCAAATTTACCTTTTAGAGGAGGATATAAAATTTCCTGGCCCAGAAACCTTATGAAGCTCATAACAATAGCAGGGAGACCCAGTGTTTAGAATATGTCTTCCTCAAGTTGTGAATTGCTTTCAGTAGATTGCAGTCATTCAGAATTTCCCACTTTGTTACATCCCATTTTTGGCACTTGTCACAGTCAATTCCCTGCCTTATCCTGAGTTTTCAATTGTTTATCCCCAGACTTGGTATGTACAATCTACACCACGTTAGCTATGTTTCATACACCAGAGCATAGTTCTCAAAATGTTTGGTTCTTGTGTTATAGTGCCAACTTTGTAAAAAAAATCATGTGACATTCTTTATTGTGAGTTAGTGTACCACTGCAGCATATTTACCCCTACCTTTTAGTTATGCATTTTCTATTTATGAATCAAGGAGATTGATTTCAGGTGTACGTACATATGGACAGACATTATTGAACTCGCTCCTAAGTATGTACTTTTTTAAAAAAAAAAAATTCTAGCTCAGGTGCAGCGTGCTCGTGGCATGGCCAGCTACAAATCGTACCATCATGATGCAAGATAATTGTCTGTCAGTATGTTTGACAGCTTAACGGAAATTACTAGGAAGGACGACAGCGCAGCACCTCCATTGTTATTGCAAATTGCAGTACCACTGCGCATGCGCATGCCCCGAGATTATCGTTCCGCTAGAGCCTGAAGCTGACATTAACAAGCTGTCATTCGCCACTGCGCAGTCCCGGATGTGAGTTGCCGCTGCGAGAAATTGTACATGTGAAATTAAGCGATTAGTATACCCCGATACTTGCGGTTGGAATATTTATATCATATTTTAGGAATTTCTCATCATGTGGCTATGATTTTTTCCAACTTGCGATAATGTGCAGGTCACAAGGCGGTAAATTTGACAGGCTGCCAGCCATAGGAATATTCTTAAAATTGGAGCTGGCCACCGACTCCTACTTGAGCTCGCAGACATCGCAACGAATTTAACTTCAAAAAATACATGTATACGCATTACAAAAAATCGCCTCTCAACTTATTCATCATCCAAATTAACACCTTCACCAACATCACCCCCTCACCCCCCTCAACCTCCTCGCAAGCTTCAAATCCCTCGGCATAACCGTAACCCTCTTCGCATGAACCGCACACAACATATCCTCAAACAATTGCACCAAGTACGCCTCGGAGGATTCTTGCAGCGCTTCAATGGCGGCTGATTGGAATCGAAAATCTCCCCACAACGGTTTAAAGTTTTAGACCGTAAATCAGAATGATAAAAGAAAGAAAGGGAAAAAAAACTCACAAACTCCGCAGCGATCTCCCTAACTAGTCTCTGAAATGGCAGCTTGTGGATTAACAGCTCCGTCGAGCTCGTATATTGTCGAATCTCGCGCAACGCTACTTCGCCGGGGCAGAACCGGTGTACATTCATGGAGTTGGAGGTGGTGCAGTGGAATGATTTTGACTTGAAGGCAACTTGTGCAGTTTTGTGTGTGTATTGATTCAGCCTCGAAAGGCCCCTGCCCGACGAGGAAGGGTAGCTATGGGCCCCAGGGTGTTTCCTGGCTGTTTGGTGAAGATCTATTCCCTGCAATAGCAGGAGGTCATGTGGGTAGCAGGGTACTTTTCCTGGATTGTTTTTTTTTTTTTGACTTAGTCGGCACTACATCGGTACTTTCACACTTTACTTTTTTCGACTTGTGCAAGCGGCTACAAGTGGAAAAAGGCAGAAAAGCTGCAAGCTAAAAAGCCCAGCCCGATTTTCCAAAAAGTGGCTATTGCCAAACAAACCAAAAAGTCAAAAAAGCAAGAAAAAGTGCTAAAAAGAACCATCCAAGTGAAAAAATAGTGGCTAAGTATACAAAGTGCAAATTTACTAAACACATAATCTACCTAACATCACAGAGAACTACTTAACCCAGAGAAAACTAAAAAGTACAAGAAAACAATCAATGTCAGAATGATAGGTTGAAAAGGTAGACACACCTATGACCGGGTTTTGTAGAATGCAGGGAGGCAAGGTCTTGTGAAACCACACGCTGTGAAGCCACCAACAGGCCATGGTGAGATCAAGAATAAAGGAGTAAGTAATAGGGGAATTCAAGGACATGGAATAACACATCAGTTCGCCTTCAAAACCTGGGGGCAAAGCCACAATCCATGTGCAAGACCCAAGCGAGACCCAGTAAGCATCCGAAAGGTGATGTGACTGCACATGATGGTTTCAGTAGATGCACAGGCACCCAAATAGTAGATGCAGACCAAGTGAGGGACACATGCGGGAAGGCTGGTAGACTCTGGTAGATGGGGAGTTGAAGAATGGAATGTTGACATACTTGACGTGGCGGTTCAAGTTGGTGTTTGGCTGTATTGATTGGAATGTTTAAAAAATCTTGAATTTGGAAGTCTGGCTGGCTGGCGTCTGGCTGTCTGGCGTTTTCCGTCACCGCCGGCTGTCAGTCCTTTCGTTGATTTGTCACACCATTCTTTCACCACCGTCCACGCTCAACAATGTCGTCTAAGGGTATGTTCCACTCCTCTTCAGGTATGTCATACTCCATCTACCTTCATCACTGCTGCTAACAAAAGTCCTCTCCAGCTTGAACTTCCGCTCACCAAATCTCCTCTCCACAAACATTACTATCTCTACCCAACACTCCTTCAAAATGTGCCCAATTCTACCCGCCCAATCTAGTCACACTTCTCTTTGGTAGATATGGATCCTTTGGATGGTATAACCTGCCAGTGTGGTCGATTCGTCCCTTACAAGCTATGTCAAAGTGATGTGAATGGTAATAAAGGTCGTCCCATTGCCATAGTAAGTTCAATGTTATTAAATCTTATTCACAATGCTAACGATAAACGATTAGTGCCAAGGCCCCAATTCCAAAGGCAAGAGGTGCAACACATTTCGCTGGAAGAAGGGGTATTCAAAATCACCATCATCCTCACCCACCGTTACCACACCGCCTTTGTTTCCTGCACTGTCGCAGGCTTTCGGGTCCACTGGATTCTTCCCTGCCACATATTCAAAATCACTATCGTCCCTGCCCCCCGCTACCGCACCAGCACTTTCGTTTCCTTTGCTGTGGCAAGCCTCCAGATCTACTACATCCTTCCCTGCCACATCACAAGCCATCAGTGGTAGTGTATTTGTGACTACCGCCCCTCCAGGAATCCCACAGTGCCCAACGCGGGGCTGCGGCCAGACACGCATCGCGCCCGATTGCCAGCATCGCCTCTGCCGAAAGCACTGCATCAGTAATGGCGGCTGCACTTCCAAGACGCACACTGGTCCCCGCTCAGCCAAGACTTGCACCGGTTCCTACTCAGCATCACCGCCTGCCACCACTGTTCAACCAGTTCATGTTCGCATGCCCACACTGCCTCTACCACCAATGGCAGCTAGTAGCCACAAAGGGAAAATACTGATTGCCTCTCCCTCAGATGCAAATGCGCGGATGTCTCCTGATGTAGACATCCTTGACGCCCTACCAAACCCTCGCTTCCGGTCCCACATGCCTCCCATCTTTACGAGTCAGTGGAAGAGGGAGCAGGAATTGGCAGAGGAGCAGAGGAGGGTGGAATCTGAGCAGAAGCCCTGTGCAGCACAGGTCAAGCATACGGTCATTGTATATGCGTGGGCGGAGGACTTGAAGCCTGCCACTGTGGAGGAATTTCAAGAGGGACTGCTCACGTTTACCTGGCCCTACTTCCCTCTTTCTACCTCGGTATTGAGCATGCTATCACTTAATGATCCTGCAACACATGTTCAGCTCTACTGTCAGGCTCTCGGCACCTGGGTTAACATTAATGTTGGCCATGTTATCGAGCTGAAAGAAGGTGCACGGGTTTTTCTGAAACCCAGCCATGTTGTCAATTACCCAGACTTTGACAGGCTTCTAAAGCCAGAATCGACACCCCATCTCCAATACAAGCTTACGGAGGAACATCGTGAGCTTCATGATAGGTATCGGAGCAAAGGGAAGGCCTTTGGAAAGGCAAAGGTTGTCGATGTGTCCACATCGTCTTCAGAGGATGGTGGTAATGACAACGGAAAACTGCCTCATTCACAATGCCAATTCCACAAGCAAACCCTCCCGCCGTCCTTCTTCCAACTGTCACCCTCTCCTTTGGATGCTACTGAGCCACCAAACAACATAATTGAGCTCTCCTCTAATGATTGCTCCTCTGGACACTCACAGGCTATCCAGAAGAGGAGGGCCAAAGGCCAGCTGAAGAAGAACTTGGTGCTCCGTTTCCCCACTAATCCCACTGATCCCATCGTCTGGGATTCCGCGACACTCCAGCAAGCCATTGACGATGAGGAGTTTGAGCCGCCGAAAACAACTGATCGCTATGTGAAAGAAGCTCGGTGGTTGGAGAGGGATGAGAAGGAGGCTGGGGCGTCCCAAAAGAAAGGAGGGAAAGGTGGAAAATGGGGGCCGTTTTATTGGGGCCGACATGACCAACTCGATTTCGACGGGCTGGTTTCGTTCGAGTACGCCTATGACCCAGAGAGGAATCCGATCGATGAGAATGGCATCAGGAGGTACCTCGTCGCGGATGTGTTCGCCACGCCATGCACCAAGTGCACTGCTATGAAGAAGCCTTGCTTTTTTGCCAGTGGGGAGCTGACGCCTTTGGGAAGGAGCGCCATTGATGAACAAGATCTGAACAAGGCCTGCGCTCCTTGCAAGGAGTCTCGGCATAAATGCCCGGGCCATTCACGACTGAGGCAGTGGACCATCATCGACAATCCATTTTACAAGGATGGTCTGCTCTACAAGGAGGCCAAAAAGTCTACACCCAAACCCGCCGTGCCCAAGGCCACGGCGCCCAAAAAAGCCACACCCAAACTTGTGGCGCCCAAAGCCGCGGCGCCTACACCAGCGCCCAAACAAGTGGCGCCCAAACGAGAAGCACCTGTGGTGGTCAAGGTTGCAGGGCCGTCAAAGCCCCAGGTAAAAGGTATTGTGCCAAACTCCCCATGCCCAATGCTCTCTGAAATGTCTTTGTTAGATTCCACTCTGAACGCCAAGCCAAAGGCCCAGCCCTCGATTGCATTGCCCTCAGACTCTGCGCCCACTGAGATTGGTAAATCTCTTCAAATGAAGTCCAACCATCCAACTGACCAATTCAATTGCCCAGCTCGTACGGAGGACCACATCATCACACTTGAAAAACAGTGCAGGAGACTTGCAGCACAGGTGGAGGAGACAAGGGAGAAGCTTGACGGTGTCATCAAAGAGTGGAAGGAAGACATGGCTGAACTGCTCCTCAAGCTGAAGAAGATGGAGCAATTGGTTACCTCAACCAAGGATTGGACGACACAAAAGGTGATCTTCGCGATGGAAAGCCTTTTCCTCCTTGGAAATGGCATCCATGCGGCACTCCTAGAGTTGGTGACGAAAATGACGGATCTTCCAGAGGAGATGGGCACACTGGTATTGGTGGAAAGCGACGACTCAGTGACAAAGGTGAAGGAGTTGTTGGAGCGCGCCAAACCCAAGTGGGAGGAGATGATCCAAGTCCTCGAAGCTCGACTGCCCTGTGCCCAGGATTTTCAAAGGGGTCAGTCGACGTCGCCCCCCACTGATGCAGGTCCACGTTCGCCCGGCGCAGCAGATGTAATTCACACAGCGCCCACTGTCACTGATGCAGCTCCACATTCGCCTGGCACAGCATATGGGACTGACATGGCACCCACCATTGCTCCATCAACTCCAGCGCCTGCTTCGAATGCACCCTCGCGGCTACACTTGCCCATCGCAGCGAAACAGCAATCAGTGGTGGCCACTGCCACTGCTGGAGTTGCACCTGCTGCCCCTTCAAGTCCCACAGCGCCCAACACCGAAGGAGTAGAACTCACGCCGGTTGAGGTTGGCCCAGGTTCTCCACTTACTGCCATTGGATCTCGCCCCACTTCCCCGCTAAGTGGAGATGAACGAAACATGTCTACTGGGCGCAAAAGGAAGGCTGATGAAGAGGTCGACGCGGACATCACCAGGAAGAAACTGGCCAGCAATCGGAAGAAGGGCCCACTGAGTGCACCTCAGCGCAGACAACCTACGCATGGTAAGGCTCCCGATAGCGTCAATCCGGCGACAGCAGGCCAGTCGAGCAAACTGGACACCATCATTGAGGAGGACTTGTAAATAAAATTTGCATGGCCATACATATCTTGAAATACCCTACAGTAGCTAGGGTATAATAAATTTTTTGATGCAGTTATTCTTTGGCACGCATATGCTTTGGCGCTCTTTCAGTTCAACTGACATATTTTGGGGTGCTGGCAAATTGAGGTTACTTGGGGTGCAAACAAATTGAGGTTCCTACGTGTTGGCGCTCTTACATGACAGGGTTTTGGAACAGCTTGGAACCCAAACCTTGTATTTGCAGGTGTAAGTAACATGTAGCTAGGTTGACTCAGGCGCCGGTGCGAAAACAGGTGTGGCACCTGAATCAAAGAAAGACTCAAAAGTGTGCAACATTGAATCACTCCTTCCACCACTCTCCATGCCATCGTCAATGACACCCATGAAACTCTCTTTGACTTCAGTACAAGTCCAACCTCATATCCCAGGATCTTGGTTGTCTTCATTACCTGAGCCACATTTGTGTGGAAATTCCATTATCCATTCATTGAACCTGTTGGGCCCACCCATTTGAAACAAAGACTTTGTAGGGCCCACACATTGAATTGAAGACAGTAAGGACTGCCAGATATGTCGCCCACCTGATGGCACAACAACGGCTTTGGCGCAAAGCTCGTCACCTATATTTGGCGGGCGAGCACCAATTGGGCCCAGCCATCACTAATGGACAATTTGTCGATGGGCATGGGTCCGCAGTGAAGTCATTTCGAATGAGCGCACCCATTAATGGCAGGCGCGAGCACCCATTATTGGCAGGCACGCACCTGTTCGGCCCAGCCATCACTATGGAGGATATGTTGATAGGTGGGCCGAGTCCACTGGCCCCATATGGTATGAGGTATTGTCAGGTTCGGTTAGTCCATTAGGTAAGGGCTAGGGTCACTGTCATATGTGCAATAAAAACCCGCATACAGGCATCAAAATTTGTCGCCTCTGGCGTAAAGCTGTCTGACCAAATAATTTCCTTCAGGATAGCCCAACAATTCTCCATTGTTTCGAGGGAAAATCCACAGGCAGAGGAGAGGAAACAAAGCACACTGTGAGGTAATAATTCAGGCGCAACTAATGGGGAATGGACTGCAGGCTGTGGGAGCAATATGTCATCCTTGAGACGAGCAGCATAAGTCACAAAGCAGAAGAGGTTCTGAAGAGTCAAAATGTTCAACACGTCAGCATTGGTCCTCAACAAGTCAAGGAGTTGGAGGAGTTCAGCCATTGAAAGGACAGCTGCAACGACGACTGCATTTGACAGAGTTTATATAGATTCCTCAGCTCTAAAGGAATATTGAATAAATACTTAGTACTTCAGCAGACCTCCACATGCTTGCGCTTCGGAATACTTCTATTGATTTTGATTAACAAAAGATTCAGAAGGCCTGTAAATAAGGGAGTTCATGTTACAGACTTGTATCGATATTTTGGCCAAATGTTCACCTGCATCAGTTGTCTCACTAGTAGAATATGCTTGTGTCCTTCGATCCTTCGATCCTACTTCATGGCTTCAGAGTTGATAGATCATTCAGCCCAACACATGCCACAATTGTTTGCAGTGATGCCTATGCCAAACACCAGCCATGGCCGCCAGCCGCCAGCCACTGGCAGCCGGCCACCTGGTTTTTCCAAATCTGAGATGTCCTCGGAATGTTGACGTGGCTTGAAGTTGAACCGCCACATCAACCAAACATCAACTCTTCCCTTCTTACCACCCACTCTGCCCTTCACAACACAGCAGCTACCCTCACACAGCGTCCGCTGCCACTCATCAACACTGTAGCATGCCTCTTCCATCCACGAACTGCGGGTACAAGGTGGGTGCTCTTTTGCCCTTATCAAGGTCTGAGTGGTAGAGGCCCTACTAGAGGGGGTTTGAGATGGAGTAATATCAGAGCTTATGGTGTTTTGAGTGTTAGTTGAGATTTACTGAGGACATCTTATTTTCAGTTACATCAGTAGATAGGCTTTTCAGCTTTTTGGCTTTTCTGCTTGTCGCAAGCTAAAAAGCGGCTAAAAGCCAAAAAGTAAATTGCTAACTTCCTGATGTACGTTTAGAGTGCGAGCGAACACTTACCTCCTGTAGACTTGTGAGCTAGCATTTTCGTGCATGCCATGGTGGTGCCCGGGGAAGAAAAAGAGATTTTTTAGAGCCTGCCACTGGAGGGCGCACGTCTTATATATTCATATGTATAGGTTTCATATGATTTTCGCATTGGATCCTCAGGGTCATGACTTGCTCAATTGATAGCTAGGGTAGAATGGGATAGTACGCAGAAGCCACTGCGCCAACTTCACGGACCGCGCAGTCATCTGTGCTGCGTTGGGGCTATTTTATTTGAGAGCCAGTGCATTATTGGTTTACCAGAGCATGGTTGGTCGCGCAAAGAGTGGGGAACGGTGGGAAGAGTGTGAACTACTAATAGGGAAATTGCCACAAATTTCGACAAACGGCTAGGCATGGTAAAAAATCTCACCGTTTATCATATGTGTCGTTCAATACTGCACACGAAAAATGATGATTGCATTGGAAGTTGATTCTACACATAAGCACAACATGACTCTGCACAAAATCTCGCTAACTTTATAATTCCTCCAGAAATCTACTACAAATCTCAGCGCTTCTTAACTTACAAGGTGGGGCTTGAATTGCCAGTAAGGTGCCTCTGCATCTGGAATGACGGGAACAGGTATGATGACAACCTGGTGATAGCAAAAAAAATAATCAGCCAAAGCAGATAATCAGAGAGTGTAAGCTGCTCACGTGTTCTTTATCATTAGTTCCAGCATAAAAGTCCACGCCGACACGGGGATTAGGTGCTTGAATGCTGAAGAGTAAGAGTTGATGGTGAGGCACGTTGCAAGGAAATGTTGATATATCATCGAAACGTACGTGATGGTGTGAGGAACGTCCGGAATTTTCTTATATGCAATCTACCATTCGTAAGACTTTTCTGAAGTAATGACGGGGCGCTCAGGAATTGGTTTTCCGTCCTCTGGGAACCAATCTCCTCCAAAAGCACTTCCATCACTGTGGAGACTGATGTTGTAGTATCCGCCTTCCTTGCCAAAGACGGGTCGGATATTCCACTAAATAATATTGGCAAAAAGACATTAGTCGGTTTGACCATCTGGAACGTATGTAAATGCATGATACTTATGACCTGACGCTCAATGAACGGTGGCAACTGTGGCGCGACGGTCACAACGGCATCAACACTGTTTCCAGTGGCATACAAACCACCGATTCCGGCAGCAGGAGAGGCTCTGAGAATATAGAGGCCACCTGGAAAAGACATATCTGCAAGTATTCGATAAGATGTTTGAAGTCGGGTAGGTGGGAGGTGATGGTTACAACCTTTGAATTGATCCTGCTTTTATATCGCCAGGAAAGGAGGGATGTAGTGTGCATTCATTGACAAACATCAATGGGGTTGTGCATGTGGTCTTTCCAAATGAGCTTTGAGAGGCGCAGCGCTAAAGCCTGAGAGCACGCACGCACTACTGTGGTCCATGAATAGTCGCATGGCGTCAATATGGCCCAATGCTAAATCAGACTCGCGTCATTTTAAAACCTCCATGAAGGAAAGAGAAGCCAGAAAACGGCCTCTTCCTGTGTGGGGTATGAGTGACACAAGTAGAAAAGGAGACCCAGTTCTTGATTCAGGAGTAAGAAGCTCATTGATGTTTGTTCAGACCAATGACATCATTGATATCTGCCATTCATAGTATATCTGAAAGGAAGGATTGTCAAATTAGTTCAGCGCTACGAAAATGCATGTGTTTCAAGGGTACAAAGTTTCGCCGGTCCTAAGGGTGTGGAGGAACTTTTGGGGTCATCCTCAATGTTGCAGTGCCACGAAATCTGAGCATCGAATATAAAGAAGTCAACAAATAAAATCAGTAGAAATGATACGAAAGTTAATGTATTGCTCTAGAACGAAATCATGCAGCAAGAGAGGAGATTACATGAATAGAAACTCACATTTATTTCCTCTCAGATTTGTTGCTTCAGGCCTCATGATCATTGCTTATCTGTACGAAATGTCATATCAGATGCCGGGTTCCTGCATCAGTAGCTATAATTTGGCGGTGACCACATGGGACCAGCTGCTCGTTGAAGTTGACTTCTATCTCCCTGGTTGAAGCAGGCACTTAGATCGAGGTTGCAGATGTATTGCAGTAAATCCTCTCTAGCTTGGTGGGCTAGAGACTCTTCGACATAAAATGGCCCATCAGTGCCTTCTTGTCAAAAGTTGCAAGCAGCGTATCCTGTAGCCGCATTGGCCGTGCAAGGAAGAGGGGGTTTTGAAAGAGGCGAAGCACAAAATTCAACTGGATTGCACTGGGTCCGAAGTTCAAATGCCGTTTGAACTTCCTTTTCTCTCCTCAACTGGCAGCATGCTTATAGACATGCACAAAATCGCTGCTTTTCCATGAAACGATACAGGTCCACTTCTGGCTCAATAATAGGCTCACCTATTCACCAAAGAGAGCACTTTCAGAAGCAACCTTTCTGGTGGACTGAGAAATCACGCACCATCGGAATTCAGCTCTGGCTCAGGCTCTGCGTATCGATCCGTGTTTGTGCCTAGCTGCCTCCTGGGGTACTTTGCTGCTCATTCTGCAGCACTTTCCTCATCCTCATCCTGTGGCCCTTCTCCCTCCAATAACAAGCGCTTGGAGAACTCTGCTGGATGACCACAGCCGCGGCCCCTTCCTCTACCTCTTAAGTACTTTCCAAGACCACCTTGCCCCCTCCCTCTGCCCTGTCCCCTAGCTGGCGTTTCCGAGCATGTCGAGCTTGAGGCCGCGTCCGACATTGTCGATAACTTGGAGGGGTTTGTTTATTGCAATCACATTTGCCAAATACTGTATGTATACGGATTACAAAACATCGCCTGTCAAGTTCAATGTTCATGGCCCAAATTAACATGTACCAACCTCACTCACCCCCGACACTCCCTTAACCTCCTCACAAGCATCAAATCCCTCGGCATAACTGTCACCCTCTTCGCATGAACAGCACACAACCTCATAGTACTGTACCATTTCGACTGAGTGTTCATGTCACGCATCACAAATAATTTTGAACTGAACACTTACAGTACTTGTCATGGGTCACACTGGCTAGTGAACACCTGGTAAAATGAGTGTAATAAATGAGATTTTTTTCGCCCCAAGTGCATTTTTGAACAAAAATGATATTCTAGTACAATTTCAGTAGTCCTCCTAAGTAGTCCTCCCAGTTGCCCTCGCCCATAGTTTGGCCCAGTATTGGCTCAAAAATGTTGGTGAAAACCTCATCTTCACCTTCAATGGTTATGAGGAGGTCCTCACCACTTCCCAATGTGTTCCCAACCTCCCAAAATTTCCAAGTTTTCAATAAATTTTATGAACACTTCGAGTTTTTGTGATCACTTTCACAGCTGTCACACATCACACAGGCCCGTGAACGGAGGCCAGTTAAAAATGACTCGGGTTATTCCGAGGTAGATCTGATTGCCTAGAATTGAAGCGATGTAAGGTGTCGTTTTATCGACAAAATTCTATACAAATAGATTCGAGTTTGATCCAATTCGATATTACACGATGTAAGCCATGTACACAGTGCGGTTTTTAGTGTGGGTCAGACTTGCAAATCGCCTGAAATATATCTAACTCGATTGATGCTCACACAAGCCACGCAAATCGACCATAGTCACTGTGACTTGGGCCAGTGAAAACCACATGTCACGTGTCACACCCCATGAACACTCGGTTGAAATGGTACAGTATCCTCAAACAATTGCACCAAATATGCCTTGGAGGATTCCTGCAGCGCTTCGAGGGTGGCCGATTGGAATCGGAAGTCGCCCTACAACGTTTCCAAGTTTTCAGACTGCAAGTACAGAATTATAAAAGGAAGAAAGAAGGGAGAAGAAAAAGAAAACTCACAAACTCCGCATCGATCTCCCTAACCAGTTACCAGTCTCTGAAACGGCAGCTCGCGGATTAACAACTCCGTCGAGCAAGGGGGTGTTGGGATCATAATCCCGGACCGGGGGCCGGTTGGTTGGTTGGGCCGTCAGGCCGTTAAAAAAAAATTGGAAGCTCAAAAATTTTGGCCCAAAAACATTATAGACGGCCTTCCTGATGGATAAAGTATACATAATAGATACTAGAAAGCCTCAAGGTGTGCTAAATGCCTCAGGATGCGCCAAAAATACCAATGGGACTGCTTACATAAGGCAATAATAACATGCATTGATAATTTTCGTTAGTGTGGCAACCGTCAAAGACCTTTGATTATGATTTGTTAGCATATTCCGGGGCACGCAAACTCACCGTGAGATTCCACAGAACAGGACACTCATGCCGTGACTCATTCTGACACCAACGAGGTTCATAGGCCACCTATTTCAAGCTCGGAAATTGTCAACAAGGAAACATGAGGTCAGTGTGAAAGATGAAAATGTAAGGTTGTTGACATTGGAGGATTAGAGGATTGTTTTTGTGGATCCCGAGCAGAGCTAACCGCCAACAATGTGATCCAGTGGGATGTGAAACTGTGTGGATAAGTAAACCTACTTTCTGTTAGGGTTTCAACATGAAACTTACTTACATCTTCACGTCAAACCATTCTAATATCATCTCATTTGTGTTTGCCATGCACAGGTGCCCATGCATTGGGTCTGCAATGCATTTTTAACGTCGAAAGGAGGACCAGGAGCACGGCGGTGACGTCATATTTCCTAAAGTAGACATGTGCCTGATTACGTTGGGTGGTTGGTTCAGCCCAGCGCTCACTACCAAAAAAATCGACCCTAGGTCTTTTTTTTTAATCCCGACACCCCCTTGCCGTCGAGCTCGTGTATCTTCTAATCTCGCGCAATGCCACTTCGCCACGACGAAATCGGTGTGTATTCACTGGCAAGGAGTGGTGGAATAATTTTGATTTGGAACTGACTTGTGGTGTCTTGAAACCGAGTTGGTTCAGCTTCGACACGGGGTGTTTCTTGGCTGTTTGATGAAGATCTACGCCTTGCGAGAGGAGGAAGTTGCGTGGGTGGCAAGTACTTTGCCTGGTTTTTTTTATTACTTAGTCGGTAAGTTTCTGAGAGGGTGAATTGAACGCTTACCGCCTGTAGACTTGTGAGCTACCATTTTCGTGCGTGCCATGGTGGTGCCCAGGGAAGGAAAAGAGCCCAGTGCTGGAGGGCGCGCGTCTTATATATTCATATGTGTAGGTTTCGTATGATTTTCGTGTTACTAATTAGATCCTCACTTGCTCGATTGATAGCTAGGGTAGAACGGGATACGCGGAAGCCACTGCGCCAACTTCACGGACCGCGCAGTCGTCCGCGCTGCGTTGGGGCTATTTTATTTGAGAGCCAGTGCATTATCGGTTTACCAGAGCGTGCCAGTGGTTGGTCGCGCAAAGAGTGGGGAGTGGGAAGAGTGTGAACTACTAATAGGGAAATTGCCACAAAGTTCGACAAACGGCTAGGCATGGTAAAAAATCTCACCGTTTGTCATATGCGTCGTTCAATACTGCACACGAAAAATGATGATTGTATTGGAAGTTGATAGTACACATAAGCACAACATGACTCTGCACAAAATCTCGCTAACTTTATAACTCCTCCAGAAGTCTACAACAAATCTCGGCGCTTCTTAACTTACAAGGTGGGGCTTGAATTGCCAGTAAGGTGCCTCTGCATCTGGAATGACGGGAACGGGTATGATGACAACCTGGTGACAGCAAAAAAAATAATCAGCCAAAGCAGATAATCAGAGAGTGTAAGCTGCTCACTTGTTCTTTATCATTAGTTCCAGCGTACAACCCCACGCCGATAAGCTTCGTATGTGCTTGAATGCTAAAGAATTGATGGTGAGGTACGTTGCGAGGAAATGTTGATATATCACCGAAACGTACGTGATGGTGTGAGGAACGCCCGGAATTTCCTTATACGCAATGTACCATTCGTAAGACTTTTCCGAAGTAAAGACGGGGCGCTCAGGAATCGGTTCTCCGTCCTTTGGGAACCAATGTCCTCCAAAAGTGTGGATAGTGATGGTGTATGCGCCTTTCTTGCCATGGACGGGTTCGATCTTCCACTAAATAATATCGGCAAAAAGACATTAGCGGCTTTGACCATCCGGAACGTATGTAGACACATAATACATACGACCTGACGCTCAATGAGTGGTGGCGACTGTGGCGCGACGGTCACAATGTCGTCAACGCCGTTTCCAGTGGCATACAAACCACCGATTCCGGAAGCAGGAGAGGCTCTGAGAGCATACAGGCCACCTGGAAAAGACATATTTGCAAGTATTCGATAAGATGGTTGAAGTCGGGTAAGTGGGAGGTGATGGTTACAACCTTCGAATTGAGCCTACTTTTATATCGCCAGGAAGGAAGGGATGTAGTGCGCATTCATTGACAAACATCAATGGGGTTGTGCATGTGGTCTTTCCAAATGAGCTTTGAGAGGCGCAGCGCTAAAGCCTGAGAGCACGCACGCACAACTGTGGTCCATGAATAGTCGCATGGTGTCAATATGGCCCAATGCTAAACCAGACTCGCGTCATTTTAAAACCTCCATGAAGGAAAGAGAAGCCGGAAAACAGTCTCTTCCTGCGTGGGGTGTGAATGACACAAGTAGAAAAGGAGACCCAGTCCTCGATTCGGGAGTAAGAAGTTCTTCGATGTTCGTTCGGACCGCGAATGACATAGTTGACATCTGTCATTCGTAGTATATCTGAAAGGAAGAATTGTCACAAGCAGAGCTTAAATTAGTTTAACGCTACGAAAACGCATGCGTTCCAAGGGTACTACAAAGTTTCGCCAGTCCTAAGAGTGTGGAGGAACTTATGGAGATCACCCTCAACCATGTTGATGCCGCGAATCTGAGTCAAGAAATAAAATCAGTAAGGATGATGCGAAAGTTAATGTATTGCTCTAGAACAAAATCAATCCTGGATTCCGGTGGCAAGAGAGGAGATCACATGAATAGAAACCTTTATCTTTATGAAATGTCATAACAGATGCCGGGTTCCCGCATCATTAACTATAATTTGGCGGTGACCACATGGGACCAACTGATCGTCGAAGGTGACTTCTATCTCCCTGGTTGAAGCAGGCGGTTAGATCGCTCTAGCCACCGTGACGCCCGTCAGCGCCTTTTGAAATTTCAATGAAACATCTTCCTGCCACAGGTCAACTCGCTTGTCGAGGCTTGTAAGAAGTTGGCAAGCAGTGTAGCCCGTGGCCGCGTTAGCTGTGCAAGAAAGAGTGGGGTTTTGAAAGAGTGCGACGTTTGCACTGCCAGTGGATCCTAAGTTCAAACGCCGCTTGAACTCTCTTTCCTCTCCTCGACTGGCGCAAATAAGTACAGTGGTGATGCGGAAGGAATTAAGTACTTTGCAGAAGTTGAAGCAGTTGAAGAGGCACAGACAGAGCCCGAGTAAATGTCATACTTTATTTACAGTAATAGTTCTGTACCTGTAACATCGACTTTTATTACTTGCCAAATCGGATAGGCCTAGGCTCATTAAAGAATTTCACCGTTTTTCGTGTGCGACTTTCAATGTAGCATACGAAAAATACTCCATCCACATAGTAACATTGGAAGTTGATGGTACATATACATAATCGCAACATTACCTAAAATCTCGCTAACTTTGAAATTCCTCCTAGAGTCTACAAATCTCCGTGCTTGATAACGGGCTCGAATTGCCAGTACGGTGCCTCTGCATCTGGAACAACGGGAACGGATATGACGACAACCTGGTGGCATCAAAACATTAGTCAAAGCAGACCATCAGAGAGTGTAAGCTGCTCACCTCGTCTTTATCATTAGCTGTAGCGTACAACCCCGCGCCGATATCTGTCTGTGCTTGAATGCTGAAGGCTTGATGGTGAGGCGCGTTGCGAGGATATATCATGTATACGTACGTGATAGTGTTAGGAACGCTCGGAGTATCCTTATACGCAATGTACCACTCGTAAGACTTTTCCGAAGTGATGATGGGGACCTCAGGAATAAGTCTTGCGTCCTTTGGGAACCAATGTCCTCCAAAGGTGCTTCCAGAGGTCTGGAGAGTGATGGTATATGCGCCTGGCTTGCCGAGAACGGTTTGAATGTTCCACTAAATAATATTAGCAGGACATTAGCGCCTTTGAGCTTGAACGCAGGGATCCGCATGATACTAACGACCTGACGCTCACCGAACGGTGGCGAGTGCGGTGCGACGGTAACAGTCTCGTCAACGCCGTTTCCAGTGGCATATAAACCCCCGTATCCGGCAACGGGAGACACTCTGAGAGTGTACAGACCAATTGGAAAAGACATAGCTGTGGGTATTCGATAAGATGTTCAAAGTCGAGAAAGCGGGAGGTGATGATCACAACCTTCACATAGAACCTGCTCTTTATAGCGCTGCATGGCGTCAGTATGACGTGAAATATGGTGGTGCGAGTGTCAGTCGACGTCAAAGGCTGAACCGGACTCGTGTCATTCTAAAAACCCCGTGAAGGAAAGAGAAGCCGGCAAACAGCCACTTCCTTCAGAGATCGTCGTGGGGTGTGAATGATACAAATACAAAAAAGACCCAATTCGGAGTGAGGAGTTCTTCGGAGACCGGTTGGTTGTTCGTTCGGACAGCGAATGACATAGTTGATTTGCCATTCGTGGTATTTCATGACAGGAAGAATGGTCACAGGGACAAGCAGAGCCAGAGCAGAGCTTAAAAATAGTTTGGCGCTGTGCATTCCAAGGGTGCAAATTTTCGCCAGTTCTAAGAGAGTGGAGAAGGGGGAGGTCATTTGCGCTGTTGATGCTGCGAAATCTGCAAACAGAAACAAGTCTCAAAAGGTACGCGTCACGCGCGTCACATGTCACATCCCATCTGACCTCCCCATAGGTACTTATCCTCAAGGGTATCCTTCTAGTTCTAACAACCACACCACCAGTTATCTCATTAAACGCAGAAACAACCACGCCTTTCACTAAAATAACCAGCTTCGCACCCGACTCCCTACTTCACCCACATTCACCACATCCCCGACCGCAGCATCCATATCAAGAAAACACGAAACAACGCGTAGTGACGACACCCTCCCCTCGCCGCTAAGGCACAAAATCGCTAGCGCTTCAGTGAACGACCTTCCGACAACTTCAGAGGCATGGCATCTTGAGCCTAATAGCCATGGGAAGGGTGGTCTGAAAAATACGCTTGACAGTCGGGGGGACTAGCTGCGCAAGAGGATGGTTTGATGCGTTGAGCACTGCTACGGATGGGTCTAGTGAGAGCTTGAGGAGGAATGTTGAGGGGTTAAACTGCTGTGCTTGCCCGTTTGGACCCCCGACTGCGAGGTCCAAATTTGTTACGACGAAGTTTCTCACCAGGTACGCTTTCTTTCATTTTTAATTCCATCATCCCACCCACCACACTACTAGGTCGTCTGGCTATGTCTCCACTGAACAGTCCCCGATGCCCCCAATACCAAACTCTTGTACGAATCCGCCTCTAACAACAATACGTCTCCGTCAACCAACGTACCGCCGACGCCACTCTTGAAATTACCAAGGTGACATCATCTGGGTAAACGACTACCCCATGCTCCTCCCCAACCTCCTCCGCTCAAGCCCAAAGCTCCCATGCGCAGCTCCGATCGGGTTCTTCATGCACATTGCCTTTCCTTCTTCCGAGATATTCAGGTGTTTGTCCGTTCGACAGGACTTGTTGCTCGGTTTGCTCGGGGCGGATTCGGTATATCCCCAGACTGCCAATTATGCACGCCAGACTGTTTCGCCCACATTGGTGTACGAGGCCCTGCCCAAGGGGATCCAAGTCCTGGAGGTACACGGCGCCACAGCGGAGGGTGGCGGCGTCGTCCGAGACGAGTTGGGCGAATGAGGGAGGTTTGTCGATGTCAATATTTTCCCATAGGAATCGAGTATCTGGAGCCTATGTGTTTATTGCGACGCATTTGAGGGAGGAATGGCGCTTAGTCGGGGCCTTGAATTTTGCTTTGGGGAACGCGCCCATGTGTGAGTAAAAAGTACAGAAGAAAAGCCTGGCTAATAAATGGTTCTCGTCGATTGGAAAAGCTCAGCATTTGAACCCATGAAGCTATCTTACACAGATTGAGGGTACTTGGATTTTACTTGCCAGACCACGGTGCTGCTCGATTGAAGGCTGCAATATCCTCTTCAAATTCAAAAACTCTGTCCGTACACCAATGAAAGTCGATAAGTTACCATGAAACTCAGCCACTCTTCGAAGGGACGGGTCCCTCAAGAACAACTTCATTCAATACCTTCACCTTCCGTCGGTCCGTAAATCCTCTGATATTGTGGAGGTGGAAGGCCGCTGCGAAGGAGATAAAAGCCTTCGTTTCGGCGAATTTCTCGCTTCGTAACTGGGTAGTGAATTCGTAACGGGAGATGCGTGCGCCCCTTGACGGTGATGACAGCATCCTTGAACAGGAACGCGTCGAGAGCGCTGGGTGTCGTGGCCTGAATAATTGCAGTGAGGTGGTTCTTGGTCCATTGAGAGAGGGAGGGGAGAACGATGGCTTCAGACATCGCGGTTGCAGATCGGTTTATCGCTTTGATCAAGGAATGCGAAGCTGCCTTTTTATAAGTGGAAAAAACACCCACCGATGGCTTATAGGCACATAAAATCATCAGAATTTCGGTTCACGGCACGATCTATGTATATCTCGTCGCCCAAGTGCTCACAAGATCTCAATGACTTCAACGGAACCCTGATGGCAGTGAGCGCTAAGCACTTAGAAACTGTATTCAAGGAACGGCCCTCTCCGCATTGACTTATCGTTGGTGACACTCTTTTGAGAGAAATCTAATAAAGATGATCTGGGATACAATACTGGGTAGTAACAATTTTTTTTGGGGGGGGAATGGTCATAGACAAGCGTTGTTGTTAAGCTAAGAAATCTGACCCCCACGGCTCGCGGCGGGGCGTTAATTTGTTTCAACGCACAACAGGAAGGAGTTGTCACGGAATAATCAGGACGTTGAGAGGAAGAATGATAATGCAAGGTGGTCCGCGGACCGCCAGCAAACGTTTGCCATGAGCTCATTCACATTTTCGCACAAAAAGTCCATGACTAACATCAAAACCAGAGAATATATTTGCACAAAGTCAACACAAAGTATATGACATTCCGTAAAACCTTGGTAAAACCAATAACCTGCCTTCCGTAGCTCCGTTTACAAAAATTCCATTCACAAAATTTAGGATGATGTGTGGAATTGCCAGTACGGTCTATCAGGGAATGGGGGGAAGAGAACCGGAGAAGGTACAATTACAACCTAAATCGCAAGTCAGTTTCAAAAGAGGTGGAGACAAAAAAGTAAAGGATGACTGACTTCATTCTTGTGATCAGTTCCAACGAACCAAGCATGACGGCCATCAAACTTATGGATTGCTTGGATGCTAGATATGAAATACGGTAGGTAAGAAAAAGTCGTGCGATACGTCGATAAACTATAAACCACATACAAGTAGGTGTTGATGATCCCGTTGTTTGCCGGGGTAATTTCCCATTCGATGTGTTCCTCGGCGGTGATGACGGGGCCGTGTGGAACGGACAAGTTGTCCTCGAGGGACCAACTTCCGCCCAAAGAGATGTCGTGCTTGTGGTGCTGGACGATAGTGTATGTGTCTTTCTTGCCATGAACGGCGGTGATCTTCCACTAGCAACAGCCAGGCGTCAGCCTTCGTCAAGAAGAAGAAAAAAAGATGTAGGAACTAACGGTTTGACGGTCGAAGGTTGTCGGGACTTGGGCGGCAACGGTGACGATCTTGAAAGTACCGTTACCAGTCGCGTACATGCCACCAACACCGGCGACGGGAGAGGCCCGGAGGGTGTAGAGTCCGTTCTCGACCATGACTGATTTGTTATCAAGGAGTTATTCGAAGTAGATGAGATGAGATTTACCTTCAAAACACCTGCGACCTTTATACCGTCACGATGTATTTTTAGTGCACGCCATGACCAGAATTGAGATTTCGGGCGCTGGATTCCAGCGCTGCCAGAATGTCAGACGACTTGTCTGAAAGTAGTGAGTAGCGTACGGGCCTTGAAAACTTGACAATCCATTCGGATTGCTAGAATGTTCCTGAGCGACGAATTAACACTAGCACCTCGAGCACATTCAGCCCTTATTGTTGAGAGCAGCAAATGCGGTAGTTCAATAGGTGGCAAGCCAGGTCCACCGCTCAAGAGTCTGTCAGACAAATCCAGACTTCTGTGGAAGTTCGTCAGATGATACAGCATGCGCATTGAAGGGCACTCTACCGATTCGGAGAAATCTGGATCTTCAGCTCACGCAGCGCCAGCGCGCGCAAGATGGCGCTAGGTCAAAAAAGGACGAAGGCTCCACTGAAAGTGCGGCGTGGCACAGCGGCTCAAAAGGGGATGAGGTGGGGATAGTTGACAAGCAGTGAATGTGCCGGGAGGACTCGGCTAAACTGATTCTCAATCAGCCAATTTCCCCTAGAGCCCAAATCAGAACCAATAGTAGCGGGTAAGGATCATGGTAAGTTCTGGCGTGGTCGAGTTTGTCTTTCGGAAGGGCTGCGACACGTTGAACGTTGAAGCTCGGGCGCGAGGTTGTGCACCTCGTGAAAAAGACTTTGCACTGCCACCTAATTCCGTTATCTCCACTACAAATTTCTTACTCAGGCCTCATTCACATTTTCACACTAAAAATCCATCGTTGGCATCAAAATCAAAATGAGATAGTACTCGAGAATATCTTTGCAAAAAGTGTATGACATTCCGTAAAACCAATGACCTGCCCACCGTAACTCCGCTTACAAAATTAACGTTCACAAAATTTAGGATGATTTATTGAATTGCCAGTAGGGTCTATCCGGGAATGGGGGCGTGAAAATCGGAGAACGTATAATAACAACCTTAATCATAAGTCAATTTCAAGAGAGATCGAGACAGAAAAGTAAAGAAAATTACTAACTTCATTCTTATGATCGGTTCCAACGAACCACCCATTGTGGCCATCGGACTTATGGATTGCTTGGATGCTGAATATGAATTATGGGTAAGTAAAAAAGTTTTGCGATGCGTCGATTAATTATAAACCACATACAAATAGGTGTCGGCGTTGTTTGCTGGGGTAATTTCCCATTCGATGTGTTCCTCGGCGGTGATGACGGGGCCGTGTGGAACGGACAAGTTGTCCTCGAGGGACCAACTTCCGCCCAGAGAGATGTCATGCTTGTGGTGCTGGATGATAGTGTATGTGTCTTTTTTCCCACGAACGGCAGTGATCTTCCACTAGCAACAGCCAGGCATCAGCGTTCATCCTGCAGAAAGATGAAAAAACTAACGGTTTGACGATCGAAGGTCGTCGGGACTTGGGCGGCGACGGTGACGATCTTGAAAGTGCCGTTCCCAGTCGCATACATACCACCACTGGCGGCCTCGACGACGGGAGAGGCTTTGAGGGTGTAGAGTCCGTTCTCGACCATGACTGATTTGTTATTAAGAAGGTATTCGAAGCAGATGAGGTTTGACTTACCTTGAAACCACCTTTGATCTTTATACCTTCAAGATATATATTTAATGCGCGCCATGATTAGAATCGAGGCTTCGGGCGCTGCGCCAGCGCTGCCAGAATGCCAGATGACTCATCTGAAAATGGGAATAACGTACGAACTTTGAAAACTTGACCATTCATTCGGACTGCTGGAATGTTCCTGCGCGACGAATCATTAATCAACACTAGCATTTTGACGAATGAAAGCCCTCACAATTCAAGTTGAGAACAATCATGTGGCAATTCGATAGGTGAAGCCAGGTAAATATGATTCATACGCGGCATATCCCAGCAGTGAGAGATTTGAGAAATTTGGGTCTTCGACTATCGCAGCGCAAGCGCGCAGGGGGGAGAAGTCCAAAAAAGGCGAAAGCTCCATTTCGACTGCAGCGTAGTCTAAGGCTTCAAGCTGTTGTATGGGAATGGGGAAACTTCTCAACCGGTTGCTTGACGAGGCCGATCTGATTCTCAGTCAGTGTTATTTTCGCTGGCGCCGAGATCTTACGATGACTTTTGGAATGGTCGAGCCTGGGAAGGCTGTAACAACGTTGAACGTTAAACTTCAAATTCAACTTGAAGTTAAAGTAAGGGATGTTTGTCATTGTTTCGATCAGTGTCACCACCTCCGTTTAAAACCTCAACAGTCTTGGCTTCCGAAGCGCATGTCCACGTCCTACCCAACTGTTCCTCCTAGACTCGCGAGGACCAATTCGAAGGATGGGGGAGAACCGGATGTCATTAATGTTGTAAGCTGGCGAAATGGTATGTTTGCTGCCTTGGTTTGTTTGCGTGGACTTACAGCGACGTATTAGCTACGAAGCTTGTGGTCTACATGCCTATGCCGAAAGGAAGCATCAGTGTCTTCCAACCCGGATTCGTACTGGTCGTTAAAAGGGTATCAGGCGCTCAGCATTCCTCGCCCATCTTCTAGTCCTCCTCAACGAAAGCTCGGGCGCAACGACAAACGTGCCTCACTCCCCTCTTCTTATAGCTTTGAAGACGACGGTGGCGAAAGTTACCGTTGATGTCCCGTGAGTTCTTCCTCTTTTTATCCCTTTCTCCCGACTCATCTTTTCGTTTGAAGACAGCTATCATGACTGGCAACGGGCCCCCTCAATCTGGAATCTCAAGAATTACTATTCAGTGTGGCAAAATATACAGATTCCCTGTCCTGCCCACCTTCCTCCTCATCACCTCATTCACTCCAAAGAAACCAAGGGGTCAGGAGAGGAAGGTCAGGGAACACGCGCCAGAGAACGCCCCGAGTTTGAAGTTGACGCCGAACGCGTCAGTGTCGTCAAGGAGACAATTATGTAGAGGGGGAAGGATGGAGCAGTGGAGTGGGCAGAATCCAGGGAAAATTTTCACGCTGGTCGACATTTTCAGCTCGTCCGCGCCGCTGCTTCCTCGGTCTGCAGCCACCTTCTCTGGCCCTACATGTCTCGCACGCACCACACGATTGATCCCGAACGCGCTCTTTTTGCTACCAAGACATGCCCTAGGATGATCCACGGGAAGCCATTGACGAGGACACAGTGGGAGGAGTTGGAGTTGTCCAGATCCGGCCTTCCAATGGCAAGGGCGATATGCATTGATAGTGTATTAGGACGGAATGGTACGTTTGCGACCTTGTTCATCTGCCTGGACACTGAATCAAGTTGTATAGAGTGCGTACGAAGCTTTCTGTCTTCACGAGTATGACAAAACGGAACGTCAACGTTGTCCAATGCCAACTGGTACTCGTCGTTGATAGGGCATTAGGCGCCGGACCTTCCTCCCCCACCTTCCAATCCTTCTCAACATCAGATCGAAGCTCAGCGCGACTACGAAATGTCCCTCAACCCCCTTTATTCGTACATTTGACAAACAAGATGGCGAGTGGGTGCTGTACACGTTGTGTGAGCCTTTCGCTCTTTTTCCCCTTTCTCTAGACTCATTCTTTCCTTTGACAGTTACAACGACTGGTAGAGCCTCTCCATCCTCGACCTCTAAGCACTCAGGTCTCCCGAACGTAACCGAAAGGCCGGCGAAATCCACTCGCCGACGCCGACTCGCCAGCGCTCAAACATCATCGCTCTCCCAACTCCGGGCCATACTCTCCTTTCGTCTATCCGTCGCCAAGGCCAGGCCCCAGGGGGGTCAGAAGAAACCGGGAGCTCAGCGACGCCTACATAGGGCAGCCGTTCTTCCTCCTCCAAGGGCGATGGGGATTGGGATTGTGTTCGTTGGAACGGCATGACGAACGTTGAACGTGATTGAACGTCAAACTTCAAGAGAGCATGAGGGATGGATGCTTGTCATTGTTTCCATCGACGTACCACAAATCGGAGACTCGGGCTCAAACCCAACGTTGGGCTGGCGAGGTCCTGGGTCGTATAGATTCAGGGTTTCCCTCTATAATGACAACTCGAACTTATCCAGAGCTCTGCCTGTGCGACTCGTCTGTAAAGCGTAATCATCATGTGAGTGGCCATTTTTTACGAATGACACGCGTGGTCACGGTGGCATACGATTCGTACTATGTTTGCCCACGATATTGAAACTCGTCGGGATATTGAAAATGCGGATTATCTTTGCATCCACCTACTCTGAGGTTCTCAAATTCTGGAGACCAGTGTATTTGTGTATTCTCTCTGTAACTTTAAATTTTTAGAGATGCATTCAAAAAATTGCATTCTTAAGACATGGATTTGTGGTTTTCATTACACCAGCCAAACATAAGTATTGGAATGTTCTCTCAGATCCCTCCAGATCGGCTTGATTGTTTATTCTGACACTTTCCAATTACATTAAAATGATATGTGAGAGTTCAAATACAAATTTCTAGAGAGAAAGATGAAGTGCTGTTGGGCGGGAGTGCAAAATACAAAATTTCGCTCGCAAACGGCGTTAAAGCGTGACATTTGCGTGACATACGCACGCCAAACTGTCATCATCGTCCAGCCAAAGTCCTTGTGATCTGGTGTGACAACAGTTTCAATATCCTGATATTTTTGAACCCTGAGTACCGGATCGCCTCCGACAGCGAACATAACACATCTACAGTACAAAAAGTCGATATTCGTATAGAAGACAAAAATGTACATCGAGTGGTCAAAAAATTGAAAGGATGGGACAAAGTGGTGAGCCAACAATCGTGCAACACTGAAAAAGTTTCAATATCCTGAACAAACATAGTAGCTAAAGCGCAACGCTGCCAGTTACTTCCGAGTCATATTTATAAGGTACAGCAATTAGGTACAGTGCCGAGCAAAACTTAGTAATAGGATGATGGGTGATCCAGACCTGATCTGCCCTTTTCTATATAAACAGTTTACTGGCGGTCCGACATTGGTCCGACACTTCAGTGACTTTTAGGCCTTTTTCCCTTTCTGCCGCCTTTCGTACTTCCACTCCTTTACAAGATGCGCTCTTTCCTCACTATCTTCACCCTCCTGATCGGTTCTACGCTCACGTCTGCGATGGTAGCCCGCGATTCCACACCATTCAACACTCCTTGTGCACTCTATACGTGCCCCCTCACAGACCAACGCAGCCAGGGGTTGCTCCTTTCCGATAGCAGTGCATCCAGCGACTTGATTAACTGTACTTATGCGCTGAGGCCTACCTATCATCTATGCGTGTACAGCAAGGTGTGCTATAAACTCAACTCATCGTCTACTACTAGCTCTCACTGAAACTTCAACCAGACCACAGGAGTGCTGACGGCTGACAACGACGCTGGGAACTGCCCTTCCAAAGCCGTCTGCTCGACATCCTCCCGTCGTCGTCGTGATGCTCTTCCTCAGTCCCCCCGTCTGCGTAGCTCTGTGGCACGCCAAGTCGATACATCTCCGTTGAAGGCCAGAAGTCAACTTGGGTCTGCCAAGCGAGCTAAGTAAGAGGTCGGTTTAGATGGTGTCAAAATCCTGTAATGAGTTATGTAGATGTCGGGGCCCCTTGGACGATATACATACCATGGATATTTGATTCCAACACACCTACTTTTTGATGATCACAAGCAGAAAGAAATGCAGCATACAGTAACTAATGAATACAGCCATCCAACAGCAAAGCACGAGACGCTCCCATGTTTTATTCCGGACTTGGGAATCGGCTGGCAAAACTCACCCGCCGGTAGATTGCAAGCGCCGGCTCGCTAGCGCTCAAATAGCATCGCTCTCCCGACTCCCCCAGGCTCATTTAACGTAAGACCTCGAATGATTTTTGCAGATATTATATCATACTCCACCTCTGAGATTGAAAGCTTCAGCAAATTCCACTGTGCACCCCAGTTCGGGTTGTTTTCCCCCGATCACCGAGTGCTTTCAACCTTTCACCGGAAGATCGGGTACCAACCTGGTTATTCTGAACCCAGTAATAATACCCAGATATTACCAGGTTATTAAAATCACCCGGAAACCCAGTAAATTTTACCTTGTCCTCGAAACCAGTAGATACCAAGTTAAATTATAACCTGTTCAACAAGTGATCTTCATAACTTGTAAACCAGGTGTATCAGTATATATATCTCGGGGGAGCTTTGATGTCATTGTGGAGCATACGGCGCAATCTCTATATATAATACTCAACAAACGTGAGAATGGGATCAAACAACCTCTTTCTCCCTCCCCCATCCAGCGGCGCCGGCTGACCTCTTGACATCGTCCATCATAAACTGGCTAACATCTTCCGTTTGGTAAGTGCTTTACTCCGGAGGCAACTGACTTACTAATTGAGTTCAATGTGCCAGACCCGCTCAAATACATGAAAGCGCTTCCCTGCAGACTGGGCGAGGGGAAAGGGGAAATTTTGGCGGGCTATGGCAGGGATGGGGACGAGGATGACGATGATATGGAGTATCAAGGGGCTCAGTCTGGGAATGAGGGTTTGGGAAGCAACGGCACGTTCATCCAAGCATCGTAAGTTGGTCGATACCGTGTAGATAGGTTGTATATAAACACTCAGTTATAGCCTCAATTTCATCTGTCTACCGAGTTTTTTATACCAGTCCGAGTTTTTTATACCAGTCCGAGTTTTTTATACCAGTCCAATCAAAATTCAATGTGGTGATTTCTATCTGTTGGACAAGGAGTGAGAAAACCCGTTTTCCCAGCTATTTTGCCTCTACAGTACAACGTGGTTAACAGGTTATAATAACTGTTACAACGAGACCTGGGAGCGGGTTATTTCCGTCATATAACAAGTTATTCTAACCAGGTATCAACAACCTGTTGACCAAGTTGTTTTATTTACCACCCAGGGATTGTAGTCCGAGAAAGTAGTTATTATAACCTATATACCCAGTTTTACACCCAGGGAAAATAACCTGACCTGGGGTGCACAGTGTTCTAGTAGTCGTCATCACTGCACTTATTTGTGCTTACAGACATACCAGAAGAATGTAACGACTGGACTCGGTCAAACACTGAGTTGTTCACCAAGAGGGTACAGCATCATTATTTAAAAGTACTAAAACTAATGTAAGTTGCAAAAATTAATTTCCATGGTAATATTGTAACTGTGATTCGTACAAATTGCGTATGATAACAAGTAGAAAGAAAAATGCGGGGCATACAGGTAACTAACTAATGAATACAACCGTCCAAAATGAACATAACAGCGAGGTAAAGCAAAAAGCGTAGGAGACAAGCGTTTTTTTTTATGTCAATGAAAAATTAAGAAGACGATCCAGCCTCCCATGTTTTATTGCAGATCCGCGAATCGACGGGTGCAGTGCATGATTTTGGCGAAATCCACTGACCGGTGGATTACAAGCACCGACTCGCGCGCTCAAACATCATCGCTCTCCCGACTCCCCATACTCTCCTTTCGTCTATCCGTCGCCTCGGTAGAATCCGTACTGAGCACCGGGAGCTCAGCGACGCCTACGTCTAAATACGGCAGCTGTTCTTCCTCCTCCTCTGAAGGCGATGTTACTCGTGATCGGGAATGAGATGATGAGTGGGAATGGGATTGTTGTGTTCGTTGGAACGGCATGACGATGAGAACAGCTACGCGGACGGTTGGTGGGCCGGTGGGTGCCAGTGGTGGTATTATCGTTGTTGATGGGGTATCGGTATTGTCGTTATTGGCATCTGTTGAGGAAGTGATGGTATTCGTGCGTGTGGTCAAGGGGAACGAAGAAGGATTAGATGTAGATGATGGCGTCCGGTTCATGATGCGCGAGAAGAAGGGTCGGGGTGGGGATGTGGTGGTGGTCGCAGGGTGAGGTAGTTGGTCGTTCGAACCTGTTCGATGATCGTCCTGAGTGTCCGAGGTGGTGGGTGTGACGTAGGCAGCTGAGAACGGTTGGATGGCGTCCCATTGCGCGCAATACTCCTCTCCTCCCTTCTCACCATACCCAAACCCACCCTGACCCAGATAAACCTCCCACATCTTCGGTTTCTTTGACAAATCCACGTTCCGACTCGCACGGGAAGTGAGTGGCGCCGGGGCTACCCAAGTGCCGTTGCGTATCGCCTCTTCCACCATTAAGCGGTGCCGTCGTCGGAGGATGAAGGAGCGGACGACGATGGCGGCTGAGACGGAGAGGAGGAGAACGAGGGTTGCGAGGAAGGTGTAGACTGGTGGTGAGAACGCCGGTCCGTTGGATGGGTATTGTGTATTGGGAGCAGCCGGGGTTGGGGCGAATTGAGGGGTTGGGATTGGGATTGGGGACATGGTTGGTTACGGTGAGGAGAAGATAAAGGAGGCATTTTGGTTTATCAGTCAGCTTTAGATTAGGGGGAGCGGGATGAGGAGAGCGAACGCACGGTATAGAGAAGCAGAGGATGCTGCCGATACGCCATTATTGTTGTTATTGTTGTTTTGATTCCCGCCGCTAGTCGGCAGGACTAAAGGAGGTGTACTGGAGGACGGGATGGAGAAGAGAGTGGATGGCGTGAAGATGGGTGAGGGCGCTGCCGAGTCTGATGATGATGACGAAGAGCCATCTGTTGGGCTCGAAAGGGAGATGATGCTAGACATCGCGGTAGGGGCGTGGACTGCGGCAGTAGTTGGATGAAGATGAAGGAGAAGCGAGTGTTTTGATGGTCAAGCTCGCTGGAGCGCCGAGTGAGATAGATGGGAGGGGAAGAAGAGAGGCTTTGAGAGTATCCCAATTTTAGATGATGATAGGCGTGGGTTTGACAGTGGCTAATGCAACCGCTAGCAAAATATAGCAGGACCTGAAGACAATAAGACGGTCAGGAAGAGACCTGTCGCTCCATTGATGATGTCGCCTATTATTGTGAGTCTCATGTCAGTTATAACATGCGCTCAGCAGGCTGTGTCGAAGCCGAGGTCAACAACTGGTTTCCGCCGGGTCGTAGGCAACGAGGTTAAGGCGACTGTCGATATCGTACGTAATCCACCGCGTCATCAGCTCACACCCCTTCTCCACCCTCCTCCACCCCCCACTTCCCATTCGTCAACTTACTCTGAGTCTACGTACGCCCTGCTCGCAATGGAGCTCCAGCGTCATCCACAGCACTCGGATCAAGTCCAAGCTTCGCTTCAAAGCCGGCTTCGAAAAGCTTCCTCAAAATAGAACGCTCAGAACATAGGCGAATTCTGCGCACCCCTAGCTGTCGAGACTCTGTCATACACTGATCTAGTCGTGTGACTTGTCAAGTCAACGCTGGCCTGGTCATTAGCTAATAGCTAAACTGCGGCTACGCAGTACACAAAACTTGCTTTCTAATGAAACGAGCGGAATGCACGGACATGGGCTTGATACTCATGACACTCTCATCACAACTCTTCATAATCAAGCCTTCTGCCGCTCCGGTACCATATCTTTTGTCAACATTGCTCTCGGCAACATTCGACATATCATTAACTGCTGTACACCTTCATGTCACTATCTCCGACGCGGTCTCACAATTGAGGCTTAGAATCTGCGGTCCTAAACGTGCCCCACTTATAACATGACAAGGCATCTACCACGCCTCTTGCATCCTTCGGCTTTCAAATGAAACAAGCGGGATGCGACGGACATGGACTTGACACAACTCTCCATAATCAAGCCTCCTGCCAGTGGCGAGTCGCGACTGGCACTCCGCACTATACCTTTTGTTGCAATACCTCTCAACAAAATCTCACCTACCAAAAGTGCTGTATACTTTCACTGTACTATCTCCCACGCGGCCTCACAACGCAATGGCATGTCGAACGGAGACTCAATCTGCGGTCCTGAACGTGTCTACCTCACTTATGTATCGCGGGACACACCTATCACGACATCCTGACGACCTATTGAACATCAGTAACCTATTTTCATACACAATATGTGTATGAAAAATGCATATTTGGGGGGACAATTATCTGAGCGACACGCCCACAGCTGGCAGTTCTCACTAAGCCTTACTTCTCCCCGTCGGCTGATTTTCTACTTGGGGATTATCTGGCGTCAATTCTATCTAAAAAGAGGCGCGCGCTTAAAGTTGCCTTTAGGCGCCTATCCTGTTTTCCTCTTCGGCGACACGAAAGCTCTCCTCCTTCCACTCAACCTTGGCAACAGGATTTTTGGCACAAGTATAAAAAAATCCCGGATACCAAATTCCATCGATATCAGCTCACTTTCTCCAATTCACTGCGCACCAACTTAATTCCTCTGGGCGTCTTCAGGAACTCGTCACTAGCACGCAACCCTTGGTCATCGTTGGCGATATATGACTCGTGGCGTTGGTGTAAAGCTGTAAAACCCCAATAACCGATGGAACCAAGGCTTCGGCATTGATTACTCGGACTGTGGCATCTAAATTTGATGTTCTAAGCTCATCTGGTGCAGGGCGCCAATTACGACGTCAATAGCGTCCCCGTCTTGTCGGATGTGCGCATCTTGACTTCTCCTTCTGAACATCTATACTATTAGAACGCCGAGTCTAGTTCAAGAGGAGGCGCACAAACCGAGTTGCAATTCTCCTGCGGGGTTCATCTAGCCGGGGCTATTTTTTTTTTTTAAATTGTCGAGAGGGTTTTGAGCTTGGAGGAGAACGGACACACCGTCCTTAACGTGGTTCGGCTAGTGCCACAGAATATAATACGAGGTTGGGTCTCTGACTTTTAGACTTTTGCGTTCCCTTGTCGGTGGCTCATCTACTCGCGAAACGGGGCTCTTGATATTTATTCGCCATCTGCCCGAAAATTCCCCCCAGCAGTACGTCAAGTTACCTCTGCTGCTGAATACCATCAGGACTCTAGCTGAAGGGCTTACAGCGTTCATTGTGGACGTTTGTGCATGGGTTCAACTCCCGCAGAGACCTCTGAAGCCTACCAGCACTGGTCAGTCAATTTTTGTCGTTTGCGATCTAGGCTTGTGGCAACTTTTCGACGATTGCAGACCTCATTACAATTTGCAACAATGCATCGGTCTTTCGCATCGGAGGCCGTTCCCGTTTTCTTTGTAATTTCAACGGAGGTGCTAGCGGCTCAATTCCAGAATACTATACACATCTCACGCTCCGCTTTCCTCTACCAATGTGCGGAGCACCAGTCCAAAGCCTACCTCTTCTTCTGATTATAACAGAACTCTAGGCTAAAGGGAAATAGGCACACACTTGCGTTGGTATGTGTGGGGTCCGTGGGTTCAACTCCCGCTGGCCAGCTGATAACGTTCAAAGAAATCTTCAATGTTTGTACCCTCTGTATGCTCCAACAGACCCTCACAATGAGACACGGCTTCACTGTGCTTGTTGTATACCTATGGAACTCCAGGCTTAGGGGACGCGCTGTGTACTCTTTCGATGGGTTAGAATACGCGTCGGTCCTTGGGTTCGACTCCCGCTAAGTTTACTATGCGCTGTGACCCAGTTTTTCTGACCACCTTGGGGCCACATTTTGACGATTGTAGACCATCACCTAAGAAGAGCTATTTCGATCAGGGCTCGGCATTTTTCTTGATCACCTTGGGCCACATTTCGAATATTGCAGGCCAATAGCGTTGGAAGAACTCCTTCTCTGATGACGAGCGGATTGAACGACCGCAATTGTTGTTCCCATTCAATCAGGTACCTGGCTTTAAAAACTACGAGCTTCCCCTCGCTGGTGATAGAGGGCCGTCCGTATATAAGTGCATGGAGAAATCTCCGAGTCGGGCTAAACTTCCATCATAGATTCATAGCTCAAACCCCATTTACTTAAGTATTCTTGCACCGCAAACTGATACCTACCCATCGAGTCCGACAATCGCATGTCGCCGATTTATAACTTGATTCTGCTCCCGATCATCCAATGATTGGACCTACGCTCGGTGGAAGCGCACACACTACTCTTTCGAGAGGCTGGATCATAGCGGGCTCGACTTTGGTAGGATTTTTACGACAAGTCCGACGAACTCTTTTGACTTGTGCGATTTCAGGATCTCTGCAGGACCTCCTAAAGACCGTTGACACTGCGAACACTTTGGGCGATAAAAGGATCCTCATTCCGCTGTATCGCAATTGATTCGCTCTAGCTTCGAGATCTGGTAGGCCAATAGTCGTCTCGCCGCTATTGAATGGGGCCATTCGCTCGGAATTATAGGTATTGCCCGTATAGAGCGGGGCTCCTGGTATTGGGATGTCTGATACCTGGTGGAACTTGAGTGCTGGCATTGACCTGCGATGGAGTGAGCCATTGTTCATTTTCGCCCCTAATCTATAGCCCAGTTCTGGTTATTCCCATGCGAAAAGCTGGTTGGCTTCAAGATGCCGGCGAATCATGTTTCCCTCAATTTGTGTTCAAGTTTCAGCTTGCGCAGATCCTCCAACTTGAGTATGTGGCTTGTCATGGTCCGCCCTCCTCTGAAATCGATTCACCCTTTTCGATGGGCGCCGGTCGATAAGACGATTGGCGCTATAGGCGTCTATCTAGTAATAAAAGCACGAACTATTGAATAACAGACCATCCTGCACCTACTACTAGAACGGTGTGTTGAGTCAATGTTGAGTTGGCAACGATAATTCGAAACGGCTAATCGTTTCCCACAGACCTACCACGTGGTTTATGATCAATTGATCACGTTTTATCCAATTATTAAAATCAACGTCTGCGAACCTCCAACGAACCTCTTTCTACTACGACCAAACGTCCATGTCCGCAAGGCCTCGTCCGCATTTCTACGGAGGACTTATGGCTGGTGATCAGGATCGCAATGACACAGGCGAATTGTGGTCAGCTCCAAGCTTCCTCACTCGAATTATGGGGTTTTCCTTCTTCGCGTCGCTATTCTCGAACACGTACGGCCTTGGCAGCGTCAAGTTACTCGTTTTGGGGAGCATTATAGAGACTGGCAGGAGATTGTGCCAGTGGCTTTTTGAGAGGCTTAGGTTTCGTGAGTTTCTTCGGGAATCGATGAGTGGCGTAGGTCTGATTTTTTACAGAATACTCCATCACCATACAATTCGGCGAGGGAGACCCTACTTATGAGTGGATCATTCTCTTCTTGGTACGCGTTTCATAAGAACGCGGTTCACTCATGGCAGTCGCTGAGTTGAAACACAGACGGAGCATAACGTGTGGCGTCGATCGCGTGATTTCCGTGTAACCGCAAAAAACTCGAGCAGGAAATGGGGAATTGAAACAAGCCCTAGCTCGCAACCTGAAGGAAGTGCAGATTATGTGCCTACATATGAACTCCCACAACTCTTTCGATGGAATGGCTATTGGCTTGAAATCAAACGGAGCAAAGGGACGCCAACTTATACACAAATGGGAGCTCAGTCCCTATCCACAATATTCATAACGTGAGAAATTCCGTCCACGATCTTTATGTTGCGTAGGTCACATCAATTAATTTTAAACAGGATTTATACCCTTGACATGACCGTCGTTTCCAAACTCGTTGAAAAAGCTCGACTTCGCTACGTCGAAGTCAGCCGGCCAAACGTAATTATACATACGGCTGATACGGTACGTGGGTGATGCCTTGACTCATCATATTCAACGACGTGTAGGAGCAGCCGCATTTTGGTCCAACGTTTACGTGGAACAATGTCAAATGCAAAATCCGAAGACCTCTCGACTCTATTATCCTCGAGGAGGGGGTTATTGATTCGATTGTAGGCGACGCACGGGAATTTCTTGATATGGAAAACTGGTACATCGATGCCGGCATTCCCCATCGACGAGGGTATCTTTTGTATGGCCCTCCTGGTACAGGCAAAAGTAAGTTTCTCTATTGCCCCGTTTTCCCCAAGGCTGACGCCACTCCTAGGCTCCACCATTCACGCATTGGTGTGTATAAACTTTAATTCAAAGCTTAAACTCACAGAGTACTCTAACAAATTCAGGCCGGTGAATTGGGTATGGAGATATACTCTCTTTCGCTAGCCGCGGGTTTGTTAGTATACGTTGTCCCTCTATTTACTCATCTCCAACTCCGTGCGCAGCGTCGATGACTCGTTCCTACAAAGAGCTGCCGCTTCTATTCCTAAACGAGCGATTTTTTTGATCGAAGATATTGATTGTGCATTCCCTTCCCGAGAGGAGGGAGAGCATCCGATGCCGCTACTTCCTGGCTATCCAGGCATGATGGGGTTGGGGCCAAGGTTGCCTTCGCGGACGAGATCCACCGTCACACTCTCAGGATTACTCAATGTAATCGACGGGGTTGGTAGCGAGGAGGGAAAGCTCTTTTTTGCAACGGTATATGTGCCGTTTCCCCTGATTTAGAACAAGATTTTCATCGGCCTTTATCAGACTAATTATATCGACCACTTGGACCCGGCACTTCTTCGTCCTGGACGCATCGACCGCAAAATACAGTACAAGCTGGCGACAAGGGAACAAGCTACCGCGCTGTTCCTTCGTTTTTTTCCGCAGTCATACATTACTTTCGAGGACTCAAAAGTTTCGTCTGTAGACGAAAAGCAGTCTAGGCTTGGTGAACTAGCAAAAACATTTTCCCAGGGCGTTCCTGAATACGAGTTCTCAACCGCTGAACTTCAAGGATATTTGCTTTCCTGCAAAAAGCATCCAGAGCAGGCAGCAATTGGTATCGGTGCCTGGGTAGAACAAGAGCGAATCGAACGGAAGGAAAGGAAGGAAAGAGAAATAGAGAGAAAGGCGAAGGAGCAACAAAGCAGGGACGAGGTAACCCAGATGCAATTTGCGAACATGGGGGGCTTGGGTATGATGTCAAAACGGGGAGGTGGGCAGAAGGTCGGTGGTGCACTACGTGGGCCCTCCATGCCAAAGGCTCTTCCTGGCGCCTCCCTCGTGTCTCTCAGTACCGATTCTCTGAGTCAACCTGACATGGCCTTTACGGATGGTTTTACCAGCGACTCCGATTCTGTTTCAGTATCCACCCTTCCTACTGCCGCGTAAATTGACCAAGGACTGTTGCGGTTTTCTTGGATTCCTATTTTCAAATCAGCTTGCTTCAGGACAATGCTGCTCTATTTTGACAAGATATCAGATCTGTACATACATATATACCTGCAATCGTCTAATTCGATGGGTAGCCAACCACGCGGCGCTGCGGGAAAAGCAGCCGACATTGAGGAAATAGGGATTGTAGCGGTCAAGATTATTTAAACCCTCCAGCAAGCCATCCATTGACTGCATAAAACCCAGTGACGGCATTAGGCTCCGTTTTCACAAGAATACTGCCCCATGGATTTTTTACTGGACCCAGGGCAGATATCAATTGAGCTCCCGCGTCACGCAAAATATTAGCCTCCGCCTCTGCCTCCACACGATTGTAAGCCTGAAAAAAATCAGATCGAGGTAAAAAAAAAAAGACCAGCATCATGTTGACATACAGTGAAGACGCTCGGAATTTTGCGTTGGATCAAGACTTTCATCGTTTGTCTCCATGAAGCCACATCCTCCTCAGATGACCCTGAGTTAAATGCAACAGCGAGATCCGGAGGAACAAAGCGATCGCTCAAGGCATAAGCATGATATGTTCTGGTGTAAAATTAGTATGTTCAAAGTGAAGCCGATCAGTTCAGTTTGGACGAACTTGGCGTAGTGCTCAGATACCCGCCTCCGCCCCTTCCTTTGGCAATCCCTTGATTTAACGATCAGTAATTTCTTGGAAATCCCGAATGAAGATTCCTCACCTGCACGTCTCCATTTCAACAACTTTACCTTGTTCCCGACTAGTAACCAAGTTGGCCACGTCGGGTCCACATAAGACGAGCTAAGAGGCGGTGAGCTCAGCAAGGAAAAGGAAAAGTTGAGGATGCATAATACATGGATCGAATTGACTAGGGGAAGACGGTGAAGTATCTCTTCAAACAACTGTGCATTCATAATTTCTTGTTGTTCAGCACCAAGAAGCTTCCAGTAATCGATTAGTTTGGGCCCGACAGGTAAAAAATCTCAGTGACTTACGTGAATATTTAAAATCTTCTTCTGAGTCCATGTTTCATCCTCATTCAAATTCTCGAGTGCCCACAATATGGTCATGGGCATAGAGAGGCCATCTGAGGCAGCTCGCACATACGGCCCAACATTAGCATCGGATGGTAGTTGAAAGGCTGACCTGACTTCAGGGTCGAAATCGCTTTGCCAGGTCAGATGTTTCAAGGAAGACCATGCCGACTTCACGCGTTCAGGTGCCCATTGGAACTGGCCAGTTGGAGTGGGTGCACCGGTGATGAGGTTGGCAAGCCTGATGTCCTCACGAATTTCCTGATTCAGCTGACACTGTGTAAGTCCGTCGTGGCCATCTTCAGAAGGTATAGCAGTGTGGCGATTTCTGACAGCGCTCCAGTGGCCATCACAACAAAAAAAACACATTCGACAACCAGAACAAGCTCGGAGGGGACCCGTAATTAGCGTGTCGGAGGTGCCCTTAGTCTCGATGTGACTAATACGATCCGTTCTTCCGCTATCCAAGCATAAGAAAAACATCCACCCGAATATATGAAATGTTACCATGCTGAGCAGCGAGGTTCCCAAGCAAAAACATTTCGCTCGATGACGTCGAGTGGCCGCCCAATGAGCCCTTCAATGGCTGCGATGTCGTTGCGCACGCAAATACCGATAACGTTGTTAAGGGCTTTTGTGTCATCGATTGAAGATTGTAATTCGAATAACGCCGAGTATTGGATAGGAGAAGTAGTATGCTCTAGTAGGTCGTGAAGACCTTTGCACAAGGTCTTATGTCGTGGCCAATCGGCCTACCAGAGAAATTCATTGAGACTATTCACACTTGAGCAGAAAACTCACTTTCTGACAGGCTAAGTTTGAAAGAGTTTGGTAAACGACGAACTTTCGAGGGTAAGACTAGTCAAACCTGATCCACAGTAGGAAACACTCCGACAGCGGCTGCATTTTTGAAGATCGATTCCTTGAGTTTCATCCTTGAAACATTTGAAACACGCCTGGCCAATGTTGGCTGTCATGGGGGGTACACGTTGTGCCAGATTCATACTGTCGTCGTCGATGAGTCCGTAAAGGTTCGAGTTCGAACTTATGTAACCAATACTATGCCCTATCAGTACTTCGGCAGACCCTCTCAGTCGGCACTTTCCTGATCTCGAACTTTCCACAAAATTTCTTGCCACAAAATTTGAGACAGGGCCTCCTGCGTATAATCCAACCTATCTCCGCTTTTTTTCGTCTAAAAAAACGAAGAATTGGCGAAGTTCTGTTTTTTGGCCAGTCACGATCTGTCACGTTCATCCGCCAAAAAATGTGACATTTGTGACCGCCGACTGAGAGGGTCTGCCGAAGTACTGATATAGCATAGTATGTAACTTAAAAGGAGTTGTTACGTTAGGCAAGAGACTGAGACAACAACAAAAGAAAATACCTGACAACGAAAGTCTTCCTGAGCAAAAGTTGCGGGATTGCAGTTGAAAATATCATTCATTTAGCAGGTTGAAGGCTGAGGACTAAGTACTCAGGCTGATCCAGCCGTTTAAACCAGGTTACATATTAGCACAGCGTCTTGGTTCAATTTAGACCCTCATGAACCGCCAACTCATGCCACTCATCAAGCAGACTTTAGTTATCTCCATGTGTAACGAGGTTAGCATAAAAGAATATCTGGAAACTGGTATTTCTACTATGTGCTTACGTCCACTGAAGTTTTCTCTTGTTTTTCATCTTCATCAGTATGAACGGCCTCCTTACTCGATATTTCCCCTTGTTGATAGCGGCGACGATTTCTTCCCCAAATAAATAATGGCTTGATGATGTGGGTAAACGCCAAGAATGACAGAATGCCAGCGAGAGGTACAATTCCGAACACAGAGGTAATAGCCCACTTCCACGGCGTAAATGATACGTCGAAAAGAACCTGATGGAAAGTTATTGACAATGGCAGCGAGGTGAATAGATATTTACTTGAGATAGGTTGTTGGGGTTGTAGTAGCATGCGGAGGTGGAATTGACTGAATGCTTTTCCATGAACGCCGCCGCATCGTTAATGTTATGGCTAAAATCTTGAGTATATGTTGCGTTTTGAAGGCTCCCACCCCACGTTCGATAAGAAACGTCCATGTTGACAGAATAACATATGGGACACGACAAAACGCAGTTACTGTGATTGGTGGTAGTGCAGCAAGTGCAATTGCACCTATATCATGGCAATGCCACATCAGGTGCGAACGAACGATTAAAATGCTCAACACACGAATATGATTGACAGGATGTTGAACAATTAGAACCGTCCTTGTCGCATCTGAAAAAGGGAGAAAAAGAGTTCAGCTTAATTCGCAGATTCCAAAGTGACTTACGAAGTAGAACAACCTGTGCAGGTCTGGCAACAAGACCCGCAACATTTATACCTATTTTCCATTGTCAACTTCCTCCAGTATACGAGCCGAGGTGCCAGGCACTCACCCTCCGTCACACACATTGCCCACTCCCGAGGGGCAAGCTGTGCTATTCGCCAAACACGCACTTGGAGTGTAGCCTTGGTTGATTTGGGATACCAGAGTACCGCATTGAGGGGATCCACTGGGTGCGCTAGCACATTGATTATAACATACTTGCTCACAGCAATAGCGAGATGGTAGATCGGCTCTGAGAATGGTGCAGTAGGTCAAATGCCACTCATGTCGTTTAATTTCTGCACCCGCACAATGAGCGACTCGACGTGGCGATCACAGTTGGATACGTTACCAGGATAGTTTAGGCCGAAGAACAGACCGAAAAATAAACCAAGAGAGGCGAGCGATAGCGCTGATATTATGAAGACCATGAGCGGAGTGCACAACAAGGAAAGAAAGAGAGCTAGAGTCCATCACGCGTTCGAGTCAGGTACTAATCAGGGTCGGGCACTTTAAACGTCTATGCCAAGCGCCGAGATTAACATTTGCACAGCATTCGCATACTCAGAGGCCGGCCACCCAAGCTAAGCACTTTACACTGATCAGCACTGAAAGGTAGTAAACAGCATAACTTTAGGAATCTGTGAGTAAGAAAGTGCATTCTGCGTGTAAACATGCAGTAAGATTCACATTTCGCACGCGATATCGGCGTGGACGCTATAAATAACTTGGAAGATACGCCCAAGATGCGCCCAATTTTGCTTAGCTCTTTAGGTTCCAGAATGCGGTGATTGTAAAGCTGTGGTCACCCGCAGATTATAATACCTCCAAAGCACAATTAGAGATCGCTACTTTTTACAGCAAGCTCTTATGCCTCTACAAATATAGCAGAATGAGGGGAGATGCTCTAAGGGTACATACTACAAGGTGGGGGCTATATTACAACTTCTTCAATATTAATCTCCTTCTCTCTAATCGTCACGATCAATTTTCGGATATGTTGTTCCTTCCAAATTCCGCTCCAAATGATGATAGTCGGGGGTTGTGATGGGGGCGGGGGAATCAAAAAGAAATAAAGCAAAAAAAAGATGACCCACTCCTCACATACTTCCACACCCACCTCAAAATCAAACGGCACCCGCCAAAAGACTCAACACCCCCCTCGTCTCCCCACTATCCAACTTCCACTTCGCATCCGTCCCCTTCCCACTCGTACTAACAGTCTCAGCACCATCAAACTCATTCAACCGCCTCAACAGCTTCTCATCGCTGCTCAGCGCCAACAAAAAGTCGCGATCTCCACCAACTGAGCTTTCCTCAACGGTATCAGGGCCCATCCACGACGCGCGTCGCGACATGGGAGAGCGCGCGGGACCGCCGGGGTGGAGGATTGCGCCGACGGCAGTGGAGCGGGAGACGTTGTTCGGCAGGACGAGGAAGCTGTTTTTTCCGGGGATGATGCGGAGGCCGTAGCGCTCGCCAAGGCTGTTGAAGGTGTTAGCCCATCAAGAAAACAAACGGGAGACGGAGAATAAAAGAAAGAGCAGCGATCAATGTCCGCAGAGAAAAAAAGCGGAGGTCCTAAACAGAATATGAAGGATGGCGATCCAACGTAGGAAAGGAAGCGGAAAAGTACAAGAGGAATTTACTAAACCAACTCACGCACCTGTCGAAAATATGATTCTGCGCTTCAGCAGCCTGCCTCCTCGCCCACTGCCGATCCTGACACTCGACAGTTTCCCCAGTCCAGAACCGCCAGACTACAGACGCCTGACGTTCTTCGATGAAAGACCCGGGTGTTCGTTCCGTGAACTACACAGGTGGCGTGCATGAGGAAAAAGAGGAGGGATGATATGAGAAGGAACGCACGTAATTGAGCATCTCCAAACAAGCCGTCTTCCACGTCAGATTAAAGTTAGTCACCATATTAACCCATTCCCCACTCGCGCTGCCCCCCGGACCCCTAGAAGGCCTCGTCTTGATGAAACATCCATTCTCCGCGCTGTCACCGTTCAGCGCAAATCGAGGGGGGGGTAAGAGAAATAACTTACACAATCCCAACCTTCGGAACCAACTCCGCCACCTTCTCCAAAACACCTCTCACAGGCAACCCACTCAATACCCAAACCTCATTCTTCCTATCCTCCGTCAACTTCCTCAGAACATCTACAGCGCCCTCAGGTAACTCATACTCCCCTTTAGCAAGCTTCATCATCCCTTCTCTACTAAGATCGCGCCTCCACAAAGTCCCTTCAAAGTCTACGAGGATAAGCCGCGTTTGTAGGGAATGTTTGTACCGCGGTAAAAGGCGGGATACGTCCAGAATGGGGACGGAGGATATGTCGTCTTGCGCGTGCTCGGTGTGTGCGCGGACGCATCGGTTGAGAAAGGTTGTTACGAATGCTTGGGCTGTTTGGGTTGTTACGTGGTTGTGGAGGTCCTTGAAAAGTGGGGTTTGTTAACACAATGCAGGAAAAGAGAAGGGGGGGGAAGCGTACCTCCCAACGAGATAGAGCTTCTTCGTCGCTCATTGTCAACGCCTATTTTATGGTAAGTGAGTGGGTGTCCAGCAGAAGTGAGAAAAATCTGTACCTGATGAATAGCCCCAGCCGTCCCGCGGGTATCCCAAGGGTTAATAGCGATGCACGATCTGAATCCACTATAGCTATAACTCCCCGTAAACTAAAAACATCATTAGCACCCATCTCCCAAACAAACAAAAAAACAAAAACAAAAACAAAAAAAAACAAAAAAAAGATAGCAAAAAAAACTTACCTCACTCAAAATCAAAGGCCTATACTTCCCCTCCTGACACTCCACATACTCATGCGTCCTAAGCGCCATCCCCTCCCTCAAACTAGTAACAATAAACGCATCCCCAACCGTCAAAAGCGCCAAATACTGACTAAATGTCAAATCCTGGGTATGCAGAAAAACCACAGGCTGATACGTCAACGTCGAGAACCTCGAGTTGATCCGTGACACCACATCCGCTACACCCCCCGCCAACTCATTCGACTCCGTCGTCTGCAGTGCAACCTGTATCAACACGACCTTCCCCTTCCATTCGGGATACTTGTCAAGGAACGCTTCGAACGCTAATATTTTATGCCGCACGCCTTGGACTTCGTCCAGCTTATCCCGCCCAACGACGATCTTGAGCCCTTCGTAGCGTTGTTTGAGGACTTGAACCCATTCAGCTACGTCCGCTTCCTTCTTGCGCACCTGAAGCTGCTTGACGTCGATTCCCATGGGGAACACACCAACGTCGACGAACCTCCCCCGTTCGCCCAACCCGTCCCGAACGACGTCGCTGCCCAAATCCGCTTGGGCGCTGTGCACCTCGGGGACTTGGATCCCTTTTGGCAGGGCCTCGTACGCCAGGATGCGTGAAACGGTCTGGCGGAAGTGGCGTGCGTAGTTGGCAGTTTGGAAGCCTACCAAATCCGCGCCGAGTAAGCCGAGCAACAGGTCCTGTCGGACGGACAGACACCTGAATATCTCGGAAGAGGGAAATGCAACGTGCATGAAGAACCCGATCGGCGCTGTACGGGGCAGCTTTGGGCTTGAGCGGAGGAGGGAGGGGAGGAGCATGAGGTGGTAGTCGTTTACCCAGATGATGTCGCCTTCTTGGTAGTTCTCGATTATGGCGTCGGCGAAACGTTGGTTGACGGAGACGTATTGTTTGTAAGATGCGGATTCGTAGAAGAGTTTCGTTTTGGGGGCGTCGGGGACTGCGTAGTGGAGACATGGCCAGAGGACCTGATGGGGTGGTGTGAGGTGATGATGATGTAATGAGAAATGAAAGAAAGACGGACCTGGTGACAAAATTCGTCGTAACAATTTTGGAACTCGCGGTCGGGAATCCAGACTGGTAAGCTCGATCGTTGGGTCCACATCCTCTGATCAATATTCTTCCTCAAACTGTCACTGAACCCATCCGTAGCAGTGCCCAACGTCCCGACCCACACCTTCTTGCGCAGCCGGTCACCCAGACTGTCAACCGCGTTTTTCAAACCACCGTTCCCATGGGTATTGGGCTCGAGATGCCATGCCTCTGAGGTTCTCGGAAGGTCGTTCGTAGAGCTTCGAATGCTTGATGGCTTCCGAGAAGTAGACCGGGATTTTTTGCGTTGGATGCGAGGGGAGGGGGTATGGTCGCTGTGCGTTGTTTGGTGTTTTCTTGATATGGGTGGTAAGGTTGGGGATGTGGTGGATGTTGGGGAGGTAGCGAGGACGGCTTCGGGTGCGAAGCGGGTTAGTTTGGTGAAGGGGTTGGAGATTTCTGTGTTTGGAGATCGGATGGCTGGTGTTGGGTGTCGGGACTAGAAAAATGAGATATGGGATTGAGAGGTGATAAGGGTCGGAAGAATCGGAATAGTACCTTGTCAGTGAGATCGTCGACGATGCTTTTGAGAGGACCGCTGGCGCTGGACTGGCGCGAGTGGGTGTTGGTCCGATTGACGATGGCCGGTTTTAGTGGGCTCGCTGCCAGTCGCAGGGTCACTGCAGGGAGGTTGATCTGCGAGTCGTTCCCCGTGGTCGTCACAAGTGGTGGATCTGGGGTCGGTGGACCCGACTCGCCTTGGACTGCGGTGGTGGGGAGGAAGAGAGAGGCGATGATAACACGATGGTTGCGGAAAGAGGACATTTGGTGGGACGGAGGTATCTTTTATTTGATATAAATGAGTGTTATAAAGGCTGGAGAATGATATCATCGGACATCACCTTGCTCCCCTTTTCGGTCGGTCCACCTGAAAAATCAACTCCCTCATGACCCATCTGTACAAAAACCTCTCCGACGCTACTCCGTTCATCGCACAACACCCGTCCTCGCACGGGAGATCCAGGAACATTGGGAGGTATCATCCCCTTATTCCCTCTCCTTTTCCTTACTCGCCGCTTTATATCCTGTACTCCACCAACGTTGTTGTTCGGAACCCTGCGTTTATCATTCATGTCATAAGTACCAATCCTCGGACCCATATACATCAATACGGTTAGCCAAATGATCTCTGGCTTTTATAGCTTTATCATTGTCCGGCTTACGTGCTCTTACGTGTCACATCAACTCGTCTCCGCCTCTTCGACACCGACCATCGTGACCACATTTTGGCATTTCGCCGCTCTGGCACAATTAAAAGACGGCTGAGATCCGGTGAATTTATTATGCACAGAATACTCACCTTCAGCAGCCCCTATCCTCAGGACGTAAAACATCGAGTATTTAATTTAAACGCCACGTCTCCCACTTTATATCTTCAAGCTTCAAAGCGACCACTTCTCACAATGGCATCAGCTGGTGTTCTCTAATGATCAGAAGACGGTGGGTAGTGTTTTTTATTGTGATGATAGAAGCGCTGAAACTTGAATGGAAGATGCGCCTCTCCCGTACAACGTCAACCATTTGATTAACAACCCCAATTTTAAAATCAACCCTATCAACGCTACAGCGCCCTCACGAGAGGGTGGTTTCAAAAGCCTTTAAACTCGTTCGACTTTCGATCGCTGTCGATATCAAAGTCCTTGGATTCACGTATGCCGTCCCTGCACTAAATATTGTTTTGAAGAGAGTTAACCGGTTCGCGTTTGTCTAGTAGGGTGACTTTGTGGATCGCGAGCCTGACAGCTTGGAGATGGTGGGCGCTTAAAGCGGTGTAGACGGTATACACTCACTCGTTAACAGCCCGGTCGCGCCGTCCTCCAAATATCCGGATAGACTAACCCCTTCGAGACAGACGGGACAACCATCTGCGTCCACGGCCGATACTAGAACACATGATGGAATTCATGTTCTACAGGAAACCCTTTCGAGCGAGCATTTTGTGGTGCGCGTCCCATTGCCTTTTGTTACGATTATGAGTTGACAACATGATCATCTTCTGTCAGGAATCAATGTGGTCCGACCTCGGCGACATTGAATCACTCTGTCGGCCGGGGTGTGGGCTCGTGGAAGATCACAAAGATGTTGACCTTTCGTTCGCATCCAGTTTGGGGTACTAGTGGCTGATATAGATAGACGTTCAGCTCCACTATGCGAACAACCTCAATTCAATCGCCTGCGCCCACCAGGGAGGGCACAAGTACTCTTACATGTTCGACGGGCATTTGCCAGGTGGGCACCGTGTGGTCAGCGCCAAATTACTGCTACCAATTTGGGAACTCGGCATCTAGTATGATGGTTCATGACGATAAGGATCAAATAGCCATTTTGTGAGGCAATCACGAGAGTCGGCAGGTAACATAAAAAAATGTCTGGATTTTATGGTCACACCGACGCTCTAGTGTTCACCTATCGTCCGTTCTTTGCCCTATAAGTTATAACGCTCACAGAAGACCCCTCAGAGTCACGAGGAAGCATTTTTGAAGTTCGTATCCCACGCTTACTATTACTATTGTGTGCTAACATGATTTAATCAAGATCTAATGTGGCCCGACCCCAACAACATTGGATTATGGGCTGTTAGCCCTCAGGGCGCCGGCTGGCTTTTCGGAAAAATCGCACAAGGCCATTTCCCTCGCATTTTCGGGTAGAGAGGCTAGCAGACGTTCAGCTCATTGCGAAGGCCTATATACCATCAGCCACATCACTGGAGTACCCGGATGGGGGGGAACCTCTTCCTAAGACCCCCATCACTACTTCGGGACAGCCTTTAAGTTTCAAATGGTACATTTCGTCTTTGGACAATGGTTCCATCACGTACGTATACGTGATATATCAACATTTCCTCCCAACGTGCATCACCACTAATTATTCAGCATTCGAGCACCTACACGGTATATGGGCGTGATGTACTATGCTGGAACTAATGATGAAAACCAAGTGAGCAGCGTACACTCTCTGATGGCCTGCTTTGGCTAATGTTTTTGATGCCTCCAAGTTATCATCAAACCCGTTGCAGTCTTTCCAGATCAAGATGCACCCTACTGGCAATTCAAGGTTGTCCAGCTTGACTAAGCGCGGAGATTTCTGGATATTAGGATGAATTCTAGAATTAGCGAGATTTTGTGCAGCGTTACGATTATGTGTACTATCAACTTCCAATGCAATGGTGTTACTAAGTGGACTGACTGATTTTTCGTACGCTACCTTCGGTTATCGAAAGACGCACACCGTGACGACGAAGGGTGAAATTCTTCACCATACCTGGGCCTATCCTCAACTAAAATTTTAAGTTTGATGTTATAACCAGTCTGTTGCCACGTCTCGGCTCCAACGGGATGAGTATGAAGCCCTTGAGTTTTTCGCGTGCTTGACCCATAAGAGATCAACTTCGGAGGACCAGGTGCGACAGGTCTCCACGAAGGTTGGGAGGAGGGGAGTATAATTCCACTTGCATGTGGGGCGGAGAGAGCGATTCTGTACGCCGAAACCTGAGACAAGGATGAAGGTATGCTCATGGCGGATGAACAACGGAAGCCTTGTCGTTGGGGGCGTCTTCTGACACGTTAGGCAAGTCGAAGATGGCGTTCTAAATTCGCAAATGGTGTGCCTGGTAGGAACCTGGAGATGAAAGTGAGGCCAGTGGTAAGCTTGACCGGTTGAAGAGCGACTTGCAAGCTTGGCAGGTTCAACGTCAGAGAGTGGACAAGAGACCAATCCTAAGGCCAACTTACAGTCAGACAGCGCGACGCATCTTGAGTCGGCTGCGTCAATGGTCCATATATCAGGTTGCGAAATGCTCCCCCGTTCCCCTCATCCAGTCGCAGATCAGCCAACCTTATACCATGTTGGTAATTGAAAAATATCGCCAACACACCACTCCGTCTCATCATCGGTCTCCTCGATGTGGATAATTCCAGGGCCGACCATATCAACTGTGAAGTAACTCTCCGATACCTTATAAGCTTTTGATAGCTCCCCCATCTCGTCGAGACCAATCCATCTTCTCCAGTCCTCTGGAGTTGACCCCGTGAAAACTTTCTTCCAGCAGAATCCACCCTCCAGTTCCAGGGCTTCGTCGGTGGCGGAGTAATCATCATAATCAATGTAAAGAGGGGCTGGTAGCATCTTAGAGGAACTTGAGCGTGCGCGTTCAATCAGGAAAAAGTTGGGATAGTCACGTGTGTTTCAACTTGGTTTCATCGTAACGGTTGAACCTATGCCAAGCGATAACATATGTCAGTTCCTCCCCGCCACTCAGCTCGATAAAAACAGGCAAGTTTGAACAATTAAACTCCGATAGCAGTCAGCTTCGGTGCATACATGAATATTGACATGAAATCCAGAGCAAATTTCTAATTTCAACGCTGAATAGCGTTCAACTTGAATTCAAGCCCACATTTGCCTCATTCCATCGATGAGGCAATTGGAAAATGGTATCAAGCCCTCCTTCAACTCGCCATTTGTGAATCTGGCCCTGGAACTCACGACATCAATTCTATCCCACCTAGGAGACGACACCTGCTCTCTCCTCTCATGTTCTCTCACAAATAAATGCTTCACTTTCCCTTCGCGCACAGTCCTTGTCCGAACCATTGCACTTGAAGCGCCCACTGGGGAGGATCTTTACAAGAAATACGTCGCCTTCCGTCATTTCCTCATAACCGCCAAGAGTTCATCCTTGGCCCGATCTATCCGCTTTTTGACTCTACGCTTTGGAAGGGCGTTCTCGTGGGCTGAAAAACAAGATTATTACCAGCTAGAGAAGGACACTACGCTGGCATCCACCTTGTCCTTGATCGTAAATCTGAAATCCCTGACAATCCACAATGGGAGAGACCCCCTCGTAACTTTCCCTGGCACTCTTTGTCCGTCTTTGCTTACCCTCTTCGCGTCGCCCAGCCTGAGGAATCTCGAGCTGCGGGGGATCAAAAAGATGGACGACGTATATCTCCAGCATTTCACAAATCTTAAGCATCTCGCGCTAGTTGACGGCTTTCTGATGACCAAAGACAAAAAGAGAGATCACACCACGGGCCTTAACAATATGAAGAAATGTTCCCTCAAAAGTCTTTCAATCTCTCTATGTCATGAGCTGATATTTGGGCAACTCACTGCGTTGAGTTTAAGTCCTACTTCCACATTTGATATCTCCCAACTCCAAGCTTGTCATTTTTTGTTCGCCCAGTCCTGTGCACCCTGGGAGGTAGAACATCGAGGCATCGATGCATGGAACGCAGCGCTCCTATGTAAGGACACATTGGAAGTTTTTCACTGGCATTGGCATCCGAGCTGTACGCCCTTCCTCGTGTAATGCAGTTCTATCTGAAATAACCTTTCTCCACGTCAAGCCCCAATAGACCCACTTTGCCTTGATATTTCCATGTTACCCTCACTTCGCCACTTGTCAATCGCCCTTGAACCTACAAGGTTTCTTCGTCGGGTGTTGGGCAACACCTCGGAGGTGTTGGATCTCGCTGTGCTGGGTAATGCTATTGAGTCTGTTGACGTCGGTATACAATTATCTGAGTATCGAACAAGGCAGAGTTTTGCTGTTGAGTCTGGAAAAAGACGTTGGATGGAATTGGACGCTTGCCTTTCTTCCCCTTTCAGGTTTAGGTGCTTAAAGAAGGTGGAGATAACACTTTTTATCAAATCCGAAGAAGGCACCAGCCCAACAGGCGATGATGCAGGATACTATCGAGAGAAGCTCATGCTCAACTTTCCGTTGTTGCTTGAGCGGGGTTGTGGAGTGTTCCGTGTTGTGCATTGCAGTGGGACAATGAACTTTATTTATGATGGGCCTCCAAACAGTGACTTGTACTAGCAGTATGATAATCGTCTGGCAACCGCTGACAGATTTAATCTATAACCCCCCGCCTGCTTTGATGATATGATGGATTTATTGGGAATGTCTTTACGCAATTTATGTCTCTTATTGTGTGTGGAAGCTCTATTTCAAGTTTCCTTCAGAGTGAACATTCGTGTTTCAGCGGACAGCTGGTTTTCAAAAGTCGGCGAATCAACAACTGAAATCATTGCGTTGGAAACTTGATACTAGAACAGATAACCACAATGTTCATGAAATTGCACAACTACCCTTGAAGATCTTCCCGAGTTTCAGATATCCGTGTACCTAATTATGATGCGGGGTGGCCTGCCAGACGGGTGGTTGTTCCACGTCAATAGGGAAGGGTATAATAACAAGCTGGAAGCGTCAGAAGATGACTAAAAGCTGATATGGCGGGGTTATTAACGCTCACTCGGTCCCCCTCTGTTCCTACAAACCACGCCCCGCCAGTGGCCGGTGTGATTGGTTGAATGCTAAAGAATCATGATGAGGCACGTTCCAGAGACACCTAGACATATTACATACGAGATAATGGGATGGCTCGAGGGAAGACCATTGTCTGCACGCGTAATACGCCATTGAGAAATCTCCTCTGAAGTGGAGATGGGGCCGTGAGGAACCGGAAACTTGTCCCTCAGGGACCAACTTTCTTCCCCAGGAGTGCCGCCATCGTTGTGGAGAACGATTGTGAATATGTTTTCTTCCTTGGGTTCGACGACCGAAATCTTCCACTAGCAACGGAAGCACATGAGCTATTTCATCAGAAGAAGTAGATTAGTACTGACAACTTGACGCTCAGCAGTCGATGGGACTTGGGCAGCAATGCTGACGATATTGCCAAGACCGTTCTCAGTAGCATACATCCCTCCAACCCCGATGACGGGGCCGGCCTTGAGGCTCCAATAACCGCTCTCAAAAGACATGATTGTGGGGGTTCAACGAGGTGCTTGAAGTTGAGGAAGTGGGGTGATGGTCTCAACCTGCAGAGCGACGTGGCTTTTATAGATCAAGGATAGGGTGAAGGGGTTGTAGTGCGCGGTCGAACACTGATCGTCCATGCGGTGTCTCTGAATGGCGAATCTGGGCTAGGGGTGCAACATTGGCGATACCCCACAATTCTGATAGGATAACGTCAGATAAACTTAAAACTATGCTTCGGTGAAGGGGCTGTAGTGCGCTGTCGAAGACCAGTCGTCCATGTGGTGTCTCTGAATGGCGACTTTTGGCTTGGGGTGCAACGTCGGTGATAGCTCACAGTTTGGAGAGGGTAAGTGTCAGATAAACTATGATTCTTCAGAGAGCATCATGAACAGAAGATGACGTGAAACATACAAGTATGGGAAGTCCACTTATGACTTCGGCCGTCCATGGCCCATGACGCATGAGGGCTTGAGTATGAATTAGGTTCTACGCCACTCGAGAGCCTCTTCAAGATCAAAGGCTGAGCCTGCGAGCAAACTCCGTGCTATCGTGGTCCATCGTGGAAAGTCACGTCCTTGAGCGAGGATGCTAGTGTGATGGAGACCTGGAGGATCAGGACCTTCACTGATTTAGACCATTTTCATGAAAAATTTCCATTGATCGCGACGTAGATGAGCTAGGCTTGACTTTGACAAGTATATCGAAAATTCAACGCTCAACTACTACGGGCCTCTTTGACGACTCTCGTGATGGCCTCGCAGAAGAGTAACTCGATCCAAATATCTAGAGGATGGAGCCAGTGGGATTTGACAAAACATTTCAATGACATGATTCACCTGCCTAGCTTTAAGCGCCAAGAATAGCGACGCTGTCTTCATGCTGTAGTGCCCGCGATCGACAAGGTCGCCCTATGAGACAAAAACAAGCTAGGTTGGTATCTTCAACAGAATCATTAGTGGAGAGTACAAGATACGCAGCTTGTTTCTGGGACCTAACTCCTTCGCTGCAGCAGCTCGATTGGATTCCAGAGTTGGTCATGAATGTCGCGGCATAGTGGAAAGTAGATAGGTCCTTGGCACTGGTATGGTGTGCACGATCGGTCGTTCAACGCCTTCCTCTTCCATACGCGATGATGTACGATAGTAAGCCTTCCTGGCACAGTCTGACGCATTGAGCGATGATGGAGGAAGGTTTTCAGGGCGTGCGAAAAAACTTGTGGCTTGAAGCCAAGGCCAAAGTGCGGTTTCTCTCTTGTTTCTCTCGGAATTGTCGCTTCTGTTCAGCTAAACTCTCCACGAACTTGACGTCGGCGTCGTTGACTAGCACAAGAAGCGCATCGGAGTACCACCATCTGGCTCAACAGTTCCGACATTCTGTGTATCCCACAGGCATGCGATCGTGACTGCTTCATCAAAGAGCTTCCTCTTAAGATCTTACAGCGCAAGAATTAATGACTGGGTCTTTCCTTGAACTCATACTATCATTCTCATCCCAGGACGATCTCTGAACAAGAGGTTGATTGCCATCTTCTCTTTCCTTCACGGGGTTTCGAATGGTGACACGAGTCTGGTTCAGTCTTGTGCACTTCACCACCAAATTCACCCCATACTGACGTCATGCAGCTATCTATGGGACCGAGGCGTGCTCTTAGGCTTCAACGCTGCGCCTCTCAAAGCTCATTTGGAAAGACCACATACGCAAACCCATCTGCAGTGAATGCGCATCACACCCTTCCCTCCTTTCCTGGCGATATAAAAGGCGAGCTCAATTTGAAGGTTGTGGTCATCACCTCCCACTTTCTCGACTTTGAACATCTTATCGAACGCTCATACATATGTCTTTTCCTAGTGGCCTGTATAATCTCAGAGCCTCCCCCGCTGCCGGACTTGGCGCTTTATATGCTACTGCGAACGGCCCCAACGAAATCGTTACCGTCGCCCCGCAGTCGCCACCGTTCGTTGAGCGTCAGGTCGTCAGTACCAGGCATTTACACGTATTCTGGATTATCAAAACTGCTAACACCCTTTTATCAATATTATCTAGTGGAGGATCGAAGTCGTCAATCCCGACGAAGAACTATATACCATCACTCGCCACATCCCTGGAAGTGACCTTGGAGGACATTGATACCCGGCAGGCGGGGAAGCTCTTCCTGAGAAACCCGTCACTACTTCGGGACGGCCTTTCGAATGGTACATTTCGTCTTTGGACAATGGCTCCATCACGTACGTATAAGTGATAACATCACTTATACGTATACAAGGGAATGTTGATATATCACTGTGATATATCAACATTTCCTCGTAACGTGCCTCACCACTAATTTTTCAGCTTTCGAGCACCTACACGGCTTATCGGCATGGGGCTGTTCACTGGAACTAATGACGAAAACCAAGTAATAGCGTATACTCTCTGATGGCCTGCTTTGGCTGATGTTTTTGACGCCCCCCAGGTTATCATCAAACCCGTTTCGGTCATTCCAGATGGAGACGCATCCTCCTGGCAATTCAAGGCCGCACAGCTTGGTTAAGGGCGGAGATCTATGGACTTCATGAGGGATTCTCAAAGTTAGCGAGATGTTAACTTCAAGGTTGCGATTATATGTACTATTGGTAACTTCCAGAACCAAAAAGTGTTATCCGACCAGATATCTACTACGGGTTGTTATCTTCAAGTCTGAATTCCTTGAGCTCAAGTCCGGCGGCTTTACTTGCCAGTGCTCTCAGTCATTTGCACCCAAATCACCCTATCCTATAATACCTCGGTAATCGCAGGATATCCTCAAAACACCACTCTGTCTCATCCTCTGTCCTCTCAATGTGGATGATTCCAGGAGCGACCATTTCCAATTTGAAGAACCCTTTCGATACCTTGTAAGTTTTTGATAGCTCCCTCATCTCATAGAGTGCGATCCATTTCCTCCAGCACTTTGAAGTTCGTCCGGTGAAAAGCTTCTTCCAGGAGGACCCGCCGCGGCCCTTCACTTTCACACCAACCCCATAGGAAAAATCGTCATAATCAGTGTAAGGAGGAGCTGGCTGCATTTAGAGGAACCTGAGGATATGCTGAATTTGAAAGGAGTTGGAAAGGAGTATAATTTCGTGATGTTTGTAAATCATCTGCTCACCAAGGAATTAGGGGCTCAGTCTGACCCGGCCGCGGCGCAACTTGTCAATGCATGACTCTAAGGCTAGTAGTACTCAACGTTCAACTTTCATGATGACTAGTGCTGATCTTCACAACAAATTGGACCCTCGTGTCGACCTCCGGCTGGCAGACTTGAAAGATGGTTTCAAGTCTTCTGCCGACTCACTACTTGTAAATCTGCTGCCGGAACTCATGACATCTATTCTAGTATCCTACCTAGAAGACGACACCTCCTCTCTCCTCTCGTGCTCTCTTGCAAATAAACACTTATCTTTTTCTGCGTGTGGAGTTCTCGTCCGGACTGTTGTCCTCGACACACCTACTGGGGAGGATCTTCATAGGAAATACGCTGCCTTCCATCAGCTTCTCTTGGGGTCCTCCAGTGCTAATGGCTCATCCCTGGCCAGATCCATTCGCTCTTTATGTCTACGTTTTGGAAGGGGAGTCTCATCAGCTGAAAATCAAGATCGCTACCAGATTGAAAAGGACACTACGTTACCATCCACCCTATCTTTGATTGTCAACCTAAAATCTCTAACAATTCACAGTGCCAGCCTATCAGGAAAACTACACATCACTTGTCGAACTTACTGACTTGAAAATTCACTTCAATCACTTCAGCACTTCAAGTTACAGCCACAACTTCCTTTCAAACTCAAAGTGAGTCCAAGTGGGATCCAAGTCACTCACCTCAGTAAGTCAGAAGTGCCCAAAAGCCGGAGCGCTCAAACACTTTAGAAATTATTCTGAAGTCCATTCGAAGTCCGACGACATGTGACGATGTTGAAAATTTTCAACATCGTCTTTTCTCTTCAACGTTCATCATGACTGTCACTGACATATCGCTTGTGGTGTCCAGCCTGCCCTCGCCAAATCCCAGTGCAGTGTCACTGTGTGCCTGCTTGCCCGCTGACCTGGAAAGCGAACCTTAGTCACACGCGCTCGACACATGTTGGCGGAGTCCGCTGTCCAGCAAGACATCTTGGGTACGTCTTTTCCCTTCATCTCTTCTTCACTCTGTATTTGGACAGGGCAACCTAACATGCATATAATATCCTACAGACAAATGCAAAGCATATCAACGGTCTCACACACAACGCGTAACGCCATGCTCGCCCTTCAACCTGGAAAATGAACCATAGTCACCACATGCTCGACCTACACTGGTACAGGATGGAGTGTTGGCAGATGGTTGGATGAGGTGAGCGACGTTGGGTCCTGTTTACCTGTTTATGTACAAGGTGCGGTTTTCTTCTGGGATATATCTACAACGCTGACGGCCCTTCCTTTGTCCAGCATAACGCAGACACATCCATAAGCGAAGAGCTCTACGTCTGGCCTAGCGTAACACAAACAGGCAAGAACACCTTCGACATCTGGTACGTTCTCTTCTCCCCTCCCCACCTGTCCCCTCCTCACAACTTCACCCCACCCAGGTAACGCCTCCTCAACTACATCTACACTGCCTTCCGCTATGCTCATATGGAGAACGTCACCACTGTCTTCACCGTGCCCACATTTCGAGCTCATTCGTGCCCAGATGGAGGGGGCGAGAACTCCACCACCATTTTCGCTGTCAGTTTGAGTACGTTTTGTCTTGTCTTGTCTTCCCTTCCCTTCTTTGTGATCTCATTTTCATGCAGGCTGAGTGCACGTTCAATTTCTGGATCACGAGGGCCTCTACTAGGTGCCAACGCTTCTCCCCTCAACACGCGAGGATTTTTGTTTGAAGGGGACAGCGAGGATGAAGGGTGAGATGGGGATGTTTGATTTCTACCTGTTCCTTGAGCTAGTACATTGTAGTAGACATTTGTATCATTCAATATACTCTTTTGGCCCCCCTAATTTTATCATTCTATGTGCAATTCAGAACACTTTGGGACTGCTACTTGGTCACTTGGTCACTTTTGCGCGATACGGCTTACCCACTTGAGTCTCACTTGAGCTAACTTACCTAAGACCAAGTCACTTTGTAAGGTAGGGACCTACATAGCCAAGTGACCGTCCTTCGGCCACTTGAGTTCACTTTCCCCACTTCTGCACTTGTCAAAGTTACCTAAGCAGCCTAAGTCGATGTGTAGTTTTCCTGATCAGTGGAAGCGACCGCGTCGTAACGTTTCCTACGGTTCTTCGTTCGACTTTGCTTCAAGTTACCCTCTTCGCGTCGCCTACCTTGAGGAAACTCGAGTTGAGGGGGATTAAGAGAATGGACGACATATATCTCCGGCATTTCACGAATCTCAAGCATCTCTCTATAGCCGACAGCTTTCTCAAGACTAGGAAGACGGGGGATGAGGTTGCTTCGAGTCTTGGCGTCATGCAGAAGTGTCCACTTGAAAGTCTTTCAGTTTCTCTATGTCATAAACTGATTTTTGAGGAGCTCAGTGCGCTGAATGCTAGCCCTACATCTGCGTTTGATATCTCCCAACTCCGAGTTTGCCAGTTCTTGTTCGCCCAATCATACATGCACCGGATCCAGGACAGAGACGACCGGGGCATCACTGCGTGGAACACTGCACTTTTATGTAAAGATACAGTGGAGATCTTTCATTGGCAATGGCATCCAAGCTGTACGTCCATCCTTCCTCGTATTGACTCTGCATAAAGGTTCCTCAGACCCGCTTTGCATCGACCTTGCCATGTTACCCTCACTCCGCCATTTGTCAATAGCCCTGGAACCGATGTACTTCCATAGTGATGTGTTAGGGAACATCCCGGAGGCGTTGGATCTCGCTGCTCCGGGAAACGTCATCGAGTCTGTCGAAATCGGCATACAATTATCTGTGGACAATGCAAATCGGAGCCTGACTTGCGAGCCGGGAAAGGGGCTCTGGATGCAGTTGGACGCTCGCCTCGCCTCCACGTTAAAGTTTAGGTGCTTGGAGAAGGCGGAAATAATACTGTTCCTTAAACGAGACCGCCAATCAATTGCTAATGCAGAGCGGTATCGTGATCTCCTCATGCTTCAATTTCCGTTGTTGCTCGAGCGGGGTTGCGGAGTCTTCCGTGTTGTGAACTGTGAAGGGGAGCTGTACTTTTTCAATTAGGACTCACTTCTGTTTCGTAGAAGTAAAAACATACATGACAACATTCGATAGATCAGATTTCTCACCTTGTCAACAGTCTCAAAACAGTTCTCCGCAAATACGACTTCTGCCGCTAACCAACCATAAGTAAGGCGAAAATCTCGCAAAAGGTATTGTCAATATCAAGGACAAATTACCATGATGTTGGTTGGTGAGGGGCCGTTCTTCACCGACCTTTGCCTTAGCACCCTTGAATAATCTTCCCAAGTTCTAGATACCCGCATATCTAAGCACCGGTCTGCCAGATGGGTGGCTGTCCCACGTCAATAGGAAAGGGACCTGGAAGAGTCGGAAGATAACTAAAAGCTGATCAGGTGGGGTTATAGATACTCACTATTGACTAGGTGGCCTTCGGCTACTACAACCCACGACGCTACGATGGCCTCTGTGACCGGTTGGATGCCAAAGAACTGTGACGATGCACGTTCCAGAGACACCTAGACATGCCACATACGAAATAGCGGGATTGAGTGGAGTATTACTATCGTCGCGCAGGATACGCCATTCGGAAAACCCCTCTGAAGTGAAGATGGGGCCCAGAGGACCGGAAACTTGTTCCTCATCCTCCAAAGGTGCCGCCACCCGTGTGGAGAATGATCGTGTACACGTTTTCCTTGCCTTCGACCGCTGAAACCTCTCAGGTTGTATGTAGTGTGCTGTCGAACTCCGGTCGCCCATGTGGTGTCTCTGAATGGCAAATTTGGGCAAGGGTGCAGCATTGACGATAGTCCACAATTCGCATAGGGTACTGTCAGATAAACTATGACTCTTCAGAGAGCATCATGTATAGAAGACGACGTGAAACATACAAAGGGAAGTCAACTCATGATTTCGGGCATCCATGCCCCATAATGCATGAGGGCTTGAGTCACATTCTACGCCACTCGAGAGCCTCTTCAAGATTTTGAATGAAAGGTTGAGCCTGCGAGCAAACTCTGTTCTATTGTGGAAAGTCACGTCCTTGAGCAAGAATGCCGGGGGTGCAATGAAGACTTGGAAGGCCAGGATCTTCACACCTGATTTAGACCAATTTTCATGAAGATTTCCCATTCATCAGGTGGTAAATGAGCTAGGCATAACTCTGACAAGTATATCAAAGATTCAACGTTCAACTACGACGGGCCTTTTTTACGATTCTCGTGACGGCCTTGCAGACTAGAGTAACTCGATCTGAATATCTAGAGCCAATGGGATTTGACAAGATAGTTCAATGACATGATTATATCTTACTTGCCTATAGTGACGCTGTCTTCACGCCGTAGCGTCCGCGATCGACCAGGTCGCCCTAAACGACCAATGCAGGCTGTTGGTGTCTTCAACAAAATCCTTAGGGGAGAATGTCGCGGCAGATTTAACACAGGTTGAATTTTGAATTCTTCGAGGAGTATGTTGCGCACCATCTCGCACGAACGTTCCTATCAGCTACTGGGAGATACTGACATCGTTAAAGTTGTTCGACCGGATGGACTCTTATGACGGCATTGCAGTGAAAATTAGATAGGTCCTTGGCGCGGGTATGGTGTGCACGATCGGTCGTTCAACGGGTTTAGTCTTTCAAACGCGATACTGTACGATAGTAAGCCGTCCTGGCACAGTTTGGCGCGTTGAACGTTGAGGATGATGCATATGGATGGAGGAAGTGGTTGCAGGGCGTGCGAAAAAAACTTGTATGTGTCGTCGGGCCAGTGACGAAGAGCTCGCAGCCAACCTCCACGTCGCCCCCAGATCATATCCTTCTGCTAACCGTAGAAGCGGCCCAAGATGCGGTTTCTCTCGCAATTGTCGCTTCTCTTGGTGCTATGTGTCTCCAGCTGGGCTCTCCACGAATCCGACGTCGGTGTCGTTGACTGGCACAAGAAGCTCATCGGAGTGCCACTATCTGGCTCAATATCCACAGCTCCGACATTCCATGCCACAGGAAATACGACCGTAGTTATCACTGCTACCGACAATAATGTCCTAGCAGTTCTGAATCCAGAGGATGGGTCCGTTCGTGAGTTCCCATACTATCCGATAATTCGATCCTACTAAACTGTTACCGCAGTGTGGAGGTACATTTTCAACCCTGAAGACCGGATAGCAAGCTTCTTCAAGAGCAAGGACCGTTAGTACTGTTCTCTTGTTGTTTTGCGTTCTCTCTAATCTTTGACTTAGGCGTTGCGGTCCTGTCCGGTCCAGGAGGGGCAACTCTTCGGACATTTGATGCTTTACATGGTCATTTAATCGTTGAGAAGCAGCTCCACTCCCCTCAACTCGCCATTTTGTCCGAACCACACTACCTGGGCAAATTTGTAGTGTTCAGCCCAAAGTTAAGGGACCTTTATGTCCTTACCAACGGTCATACGGTTAGCTGCATTGATGGAGATACCGGAGGGGTTAAGTGGGCATGGTCTTCTCCGGACCAAACGTATGTGGTCACACTTCCATCCAACAATTCTGTTTGACGCTCTGCCGCAGCTCTCTTGTCATCCACACCCACCTCCTACTCACCAATGATGCAATTTACGCTGTGGGCGCTGCTAAATCCATTGCCTCTTATACACTCCACGTCTCCGTTCTCTTCCCCACCACGGGGGAGCTCCTTGCTTCGGCGAATCTGCCCTCCAGCATTGCAAATCCCCTTCGCGAATTTATGGTTCTCACTCGCGATGACACTGACTCAACCCATGCTATATGGCTGGAAAACGGCTTGATCAAATCCTTATTATTGACGCCAAAATTGAGCAACAAGCCGTCGACCGTCAAGGGCGCAGGTTATGCACAAATTCTAGATGTCGGATTGAGTGAACATGGGCAACTGGTGGCGACGAGGGAAGACGGCGCGAGCCGCGTCCTGAAGCTTGACGAGGATGGATTATCGCTCACATCACTCTGGCAATTTGAGAACTCTGTGTGTACTGTCTCATCATCGTTATCCTGCGTTCTGCGCTCACTTCTCCACGATGTTTAGGCCCGCTCAAAGGACAATGCTGATTCCATCTATGCTGGTGGCTTGGATGGCCTTGGCCGGCCATACGTCTCACGTGTATTTTGGTCTCACAAGCATGAGGTTCGTTGAAGAATATTCATTTTGCTGGCGAGACGCTGATTCTCATACAACATAGAAAGGCTCGACAGACATCTTCGCCGGACATTTAGGGGCAGGCAACGAACTGGGAGCCCTGTTCCCCTTCGACACCAAATTTCATGGCGTCATCAATCATGTAGAGTACTCTATCTCTGCTCACACTTTCCTAACTAAACTCTGTCCCAAACTTCAGGTCGCCATTGATGCTTCGCATACCCCAAGTGGGGGAGTTGTCGCAAGATTGCTAATTACCACCAGTTCTGGCGCAATCCAGCTCTGGCAAGAAGGTGATCTCAAATGGACGAGGGAAGAATCACTAGCAACAACGACGTTGGCTGAATTCGTCGAACTTCCGGAGCGCGTAGCCAGTGAAGCAAACCTCCGCATTGGTATTGAAGGATTCGTTTCGCGAGTTATCCGCCAGATCTCTGATGCTCAGGTACCGTCATGTTAATTTCTCGAGTCTCCCATGCTCTGACAACGTCTTAGGACTTCCCTCAATATGTCTTCAACTTTGTCAAACGTTTCGTGACAGGCTCCTACGCCTCAGCTTCCTCTCCAGCTTCAGTACCATCCTCCGCAAATGAAACCCCGTCAAGAGATGCCTTTGGGTTCAGGCAGGTCATCATAGCAGCTACCGCGTTTGGCAAGGTTTTCGGAATCGATTCTAGCAACGGCGAAATCCTCTGGAGCCGCGTTCTAGGTCTGGGATGGGCGGCGGAGATTGGAGGAAGGATTCATCCTGTCAAGCTCTATGTTACGCGCACAGTCAGCGATGGTGGCGATCCAGAAGTGGTTCTTGTTACGCAGAGACGAGCTGAGAATGTAAGTTACGTTCTTTCCGAAATGGTTTGCCGCTCACTCGAAAACCTTGTCAGACCCTGGTCGATACCGTTATCTTCCACATCAATGCTGTAAATGGTGAAGATGTAAGGCGAACCTCAAAGAAAAGTGATGTATTCGAGGGGTTGGACATCATCCAGGGACCGCTCGTGGAGGGCTTCCTACTGCAAACAGAACCCAAGGCAGTTGTGCTGCTTGATGAATTCCTACAGGTCAGTTTGCCACGTCGAAGTTTTTCCTCGCATACTTACCAACCACGTTGCTGGTAGGTATACTTGTATCCCAACAACGCAGCCACACAAGCCACATTTGCAAAAGTTTCGTCTGCCCTCTCCTTCCCGTTGCGAACAAATGTCGAGGGCCGGCAACGAATTCAAGGTCATCAGATCCTCCTCAACTCTGAAGTCAGCGATAAACCAGTAGCCTACACCACCTGGTCACTTAATCTTCCACCAAGCGAGAGCATCCAGCAGCTCCTTCCTCCGGCCTCACGTGGGCCTGTAGCCTCAATTGGTCGAGTCTTGGGGAACAGGACAACGCTTTACAAGTACCTCAACCCCCGCTTGTTCACTGTGCTCACGGTTTCTCCAACGACGAACATGTGCGGTTTGTACCTCGTGGACAGTACGAAGGGTACCGTTGTGTACCACGTCCAGATCAAGGGCCATGGAGGCTGTAATATCAAGACGGCGTTGACGGAGAACTGGTTGGTATACCATTACTTTGAGGGAGAGGTTGCCGATGGTGATGTGGGCGGAGCAAAGGGATATCGAATGGTCACTGTCGAGTTGTATGAGGGAGAAGTCGTGGATGAGAAAACGTCCAGGTGCGGTCAAAGATCTCTACACCTGCATTTCTTTTGTTAATCCTTCTCCCAGCTCGGACATGTCTTCCTTCTCCGAGAAAAGTTTGCAACTCACTGCATATGAGCAGGCATTTGTGTTCCCTCATGCGATCACTGCCCTAGCCCCTACCTCGACGAAGTTCGGAATCAGCAGCAAGGATCTGATAGGTATGGTATCATGCAGCTTTGTAGACGAGTCGAATTGACCGTTAGCATACAGTGGCTACCAAAAACCATAGGATCCAATCCTTCCAACGAGCCATGCTCAACCCTCGTCGACCTAAGCGAAAGGTCACGGCTGAAGAGGCGGAAGAGTTCCTCATTGAGTACGATCCAATTCTTCCAGACGATCCTCATCGTGTTCTCTCTCATAACTATGAAGTAAGCTTTTAATACTCGTCTCGAGTGCACCGATAGACTAACCATACAATAATCAGGTCGCCAATGTACAGCGGATAGTAACCGCACCCGCCCTCCTTGAATCAACATCATTGGTCTTCGCCTTCGGTTTGGACATGTTCCTAACCCGTGTGGCGCCATCGAATACATTCGACGTCCTTAGCGAGAACTTCAATAAGGCGCAGCTGGTGTTCACGGTCTCCGGTCTATTGCTTGCGATCATGATCACACGACCGATGGTGGAGAGGAAAAGGCTTAGAGAGAAGTGGTATCAATAGCCGATTAGGCTATCTCAGATGTAATTTATTGGGTAAATGGAACTAAAAAATCATCTCATCCTCTTCGATTGCATCTCGCGTTGAAGGATGGGTTCGAAACACTGATTGGAATTGCGGACTGTCACACCACAGGGTATATACTATCCGGATGCTTCGATTTTTCCAAGGCCATGCGTGGTGTCCACACTGGGGTCCAAATGCCATTGACCAACACAGACCAATCAGCAATCGGGCCAGAAGAGGTTCCCCAACTTGATCCTATATTGTTGGCTCGACCTCCATCCAAATACTCGCGCTATCTCTTGGACGCGGCCGAAAGCCAGGCCTCAACGTGAACCATCAACAGATCCGTCCTTGAAGCTTGAAGACGGTGATGTCAACGATAACACTGTCACTCCTGAACAGGTTCTCAACGTGTACACCCTTTGGCCACCCTCCCCATCCTTCGAAAGACACCGAAGCCATCCGTTAGTCGTTGGAACTACTGTCCCCGGTCAGCATAGGCCATGAAGCCAGCCACCCTGGCCGATGCATGGGTCGGTAACTGGTCGGTCGAGTCAGCATCTAAATCACGTTTGGCTTTGTCTTTTTCTTTGACATTTTCATTATCGTTGAAGATGCTGATACGTGTTATGAAGCCGGAGAAGCTAAATAATCAAAAATAACAATGGAACCTTGCGTGCAAGATATATGACAGAGTCTCCCTGCAACCGGGCAAAGTGTAAACTCGACGCGTTCAAGCCCTGCTTCATCGCAAAGGAGAGTGACGTCCTCCGGCTTCCGAAAATCATCTTTTTCTTGTGGCCCACGGGGAGTGCAGCTGGCCATCAAAGACTGGCAATTGCTCCAAGACATAACGAGAGTCCCGTCGCAAAATCGGTACGGTTCGACAATCATCGCCGCAGACCCCTCCTTCGGGAGGATGAACTTATGTCGGAGTTTGACGCGCCCCTCTGGAAGGATGACCTCATATCGCCATATCGTACGTGACTCGCTCGACTGGTGGATTACATCGTAAGTAATCGGATGATGGGTGTACCATTCACTTGGCATTTCAAATTGCAGCTCTTCGTCACCTTCCAGAGAATCAATATCCATGTCGCATTCCACTGGAAGTTCAAGGTCGGGTTTTACGTGATCTGCTCCCGGTTCTTCAATGTGTCCGCCGGGGACGAGTGGGGGTATATTCCAAACGGAAACCACGGCGAATTGGATTAATACGACGAACTCGTCAGTCGCGGAAAGCTGGGGTATGATCGATATCAGTCAATACGTGTGCATGCAAGTTCGGAAAAGTAGTCGAGTAATTACCTGCTCATACGATTCATCTCCTACATTAAATGTTACGCCCGTACCTGTGACAAAGTTCCATACTTTGACATAGTTTGCACCGTGGTAGATCAGTAAGTCCCCACGGAGCACAAAGAGGGACACGTCGGAGTAATCCTCGACTAAGAGACTAGCTATTTTGGATAGCTTGGGCTTTTCTGACAGAGGGAAAATTTCAAAGATCCAAAATTCATCTCGTCTGTCAGGTAGTAATAAGCGTCAATGTGCGCCTTATCGTGAAAGGAACAACTCACATGCTCTCTTCATCCGTCCAACCATTGGTTTCACAAATTGTATTGGCAAAAATCCGCAAGCCCAACCCATCTGCTGTGGGGACTACAGCAAAGATATCGTTGAAAATATGAGACGCGGAGGCTATCGGAGTGTTCTTCAATATGGTGCTGGAAGAATAGCCAAGGTCCCAAACACACAGGTCGGCTTCGGAAAAGGTGATAAGGAATCGGCCACCAGGAACGAGATAAACACCCTGGAAGTAGGGATTCTCAGACGGAGTAATAGTTCGCGCGCAGCATCCTCTGGCTTTCATGTTGTTGCGCATGACATGGTCTAGCCATCTCGTCGGCGCAAAGACAGCCCGTTCCAAATCTGTCACACACATCTGGTCGATCGGAAATGTGGGCCTAAAGACGGAGTTGTCTGAACAAACGCGTCGAAGAAGATCAACCCAAATAATGCGTTGGGACGTAACACAGCAGAACAGTTTGGAGGTCTGACAACCATTTGTCAATTAGATACCGAGGTTTGGAATTACGAGACCATACAACCTTTCTTAGGGCAACGATGCTCCCCAAATCCATGAAGTTGAAGATGTGTAGGAGTAGATCCAGGGAAAGACTCCCGAACATTGCAGTCGAGCCCCCACGATTGCGTACCCCGATATTCTCCATATTGAGCGACTTCACTATGAGACGCGACGGGAGGTTTGGCTCTACCGCTGGAGGGCTGAAGACGTAGTCGACTGGTCGTTGTCAATTGACCTTGTAATTGTTTGGTAAATGTGTGGTCAATTACTTGGCAAACAATGATCCTCTTGAGTCCCGATCAGGGGCGTCAATGGACCGGCGATATATCTAACACGGCTTCAGCTTCAGAATCCTCTAGAGGAGGGGTAAGGGATGGGGCGGAGTAGAGAAGTTGAAAGCCAGGGGAGCCGAGAAGAAGGGCGGATGAGGGTGTTATAAATGGGCGAAGAGGTGAGTAGTATACATAGATATCAGCCTGAGGCAACTGCCTGGTGAAACAGGACCCCCGAAAATCCTGCTAAATGGTAGATACCGATCCGGACAGAAATTTTCAAAATGAGGTGCTAGGTTAGATACAAACCGGACAGGTTTTCGAAAAAATCAGCAAAATGCTAGATACGAAATCCGGACAGGTTTGCGAGGAGATTGACAGGCTGGATACTAACCGGACAAGTATGGTCGCTTAGTCTAACGGAAAAAATGTATGTACTTCACTAGGCTCATCGTGTGGTCTGGGGTTCGAATCTTGCACTGCACACAAAATTTGGCCCTGAGTAGGCTAGATACGAAGTTTGGACAAATTTTTGAAAATTTGTCTAGGCTAGATAAAATCCGGACATACTTCGCCAAAATTGGTACGGACAAGAATCTGGAAATCGGCAATTTTAGTATCTACCCTTTAGCAGGATTTTCGGGGGTCCTGGTGAAACCCGATGGTGAGCGGTTTCTCAAGGCCGCCCCTGAGCGTTTTCGATTCGATAACGAGGTGAAGGTTGGCATGTCATTACGTAAGACGTGCAACATTTGACTTCGCCACCATGACAGATTTCCTTCCCCCCACAACAGACGTTGTTTTCATCGACACCCTTCGCCTTTCGGCGAATATTGGATATGATTGCTGGGGTCGACGCCGAGCCCAGCCGATTGAACTGACCGTGTACTTGCACTTGAAAAACAGTTATCTCAAGGCGGCTAGTCAATCAGACAACGTTCTTGATTCAATCCACTATGGGCACCTCTCCAAAGCGATCAGCACTCTCGCTAAATCGAAATCCGAAAATGGTGATCCAGGCTTTGACGGTATAGATGGGTTGATTGGCGAAGTTGCACAAGAGGCTTTGAAGTTGGCTGGGAATGCTGCCGATGAAGTGAGAGTGGTGGTTGACATACCCAAACTCATTTTGCTTGCTGGCGGTTTTGCGGTGGATTATACGATACCGCATCCGTCATATCCGCTTGCTTCTCCGGGCACCAAAAAGGTCTATGTGAAAGAGCTCATTCTACCGGTGATCATTGGCGTTAACCCTCCGGAAAGAGAGTCCAAACAACGCGTCATTACCAGCATCACCTTCTATGAAAGAAAGGGTCTGGGGGGCGCCGACCCCGTCGATTACCAGAAGATTGTTTGTGACCTGACCAAGGTCTGTCGACAACGTACCGTCGCTGTCTTTTTACATCTCATCTACTTTGCAAGGAATTGGAGGCTTCATCCTACCTCACACTCGAAAAATTTGTCATGCATGTTGTTCGCTCAGGCTGCTTAGCTTCAGAAGCTATTGAAGCCGTCACAGCGCGGGCGCAAAAGCCTAGCGCTCTCAGTTTTGCGCACTCGTCGGGCGTCGAAATCACCAGAGCCAGATCTGTTTTCCTCGTATAGCTGCGTGGTTTAATGGTTGGAAATGGTATATACACTGTGCGTTAATCTCACCTCTTCTGGCCCTTCATATCCTATAATAGTGTTGAAAAATAGTGATATAGCTCAAAATATTACAGGAATCTCGTCTGAATCTCCGCTCTTGTGACTTCAAGTCTCTGTCCTTTCATTGAAGAGAAACTGTTCTCATAGGCATGTATTTCGCGATGAAAATACTTGTACAGAACGGAACTGCAAATCGGGAAGACGCGATTGTGTCTTGTCTCAACTATTAGAGAGAAAGATCAGCCTTCCGGATTGTGCATTTCGTTCGGCCTCAACTACTCTGTAACTCTAGAAGTGCATGGCGAATTCTCCCATGTTCTGAATCCAATCTAGGGGTTTTAGAATCGATAGAGCGACGATAAGACGGTCCAACTGTCAACATGGAGGAGGAAATTTGTTACAAAAATAGACCGTGGCTTGGCTTTGACTTGGCTGCTTGGCGTGATGCCTTTTGTCTCCACAGTAGTGCAACTGTCCCAGCTTCCAAACGGCAGTTGCGGGAATGTCTCCGCAGACCACCCAGATCAGTATGTTCCCAACGCGTGGACTTCATTCCTTCAAATGTGCCCCTTTGCCCCGCTCATTACCACCGTTGGCTTCTGGACCCTCGTATAATCGCGAGCAATGCTCTCTTACCCACTACAGCGACATTTTCGATGGAAGTGGTTCCCTTACTTTGCCTTTGGCGGTGGCTTTATAGCACTGGTGGTTATCATAGTTGTCAACAGTAAGCACCAAACTCAGCTCTGCCAACCGGGGTGCAACTTGGTGATTCAAAGACCCGCTAACACATTCCTGTAGTTGCTCTGACTGGCTACGAGACCGTCACTGTGTTCCGGAGTGACTACGGCACGCGCCAAACGCACTGGTACGACCGTTTTCGGACGAAAGACCCCGCCCCGCTTTGCGACACTCGCGTCTTCAATGTGGGCGATACCCTCACAACGAATTACACTCTCTTCGCTTGGACTTTGGAGAGCATCACCGTTGCGAATGCGGGAACCTCGGGGTTGGCGTATAACGGAAGTACGCTCACGGACTGTGATGTATCCTCCCTCTTTATGACTGGAGACCTGAGGTCCTGGACAATGAATTTCGTGGTTTTGATATCATGTTCGAAGAACAAGGAGTACGACATCACCGCAACCACGAGGTTTTCGATCTCTTCCTTGCCAGGAAGCTATTCTCCTCTGCTGGGTAAGGCCCGATCTCTTGAAGCTGGTGGACAGGGCGATAAACGAGCTATAATTATCGATTGGTTGTAAGTGTGAACATATCGATTCCTCTTATTATTTCTCGACAAGTTATTTCGCTATTCAGGATACGGGTAGCCAATACCGACCTAGCCAACCGAGTACGCACCGCTTTTCAGAATTCAGGGGAGACCAGCTACGTGGTGGCTTCCCTCCAAATTGACTTCCACCACTGTCCACTGTCCCTCGGTCCAAAGGCATCGTGTGGCATCAAACCTCCCACATATCTCCTTTCTTCGTCGACTCTCGTTTATCCCGATGGAACGCTCTCAGAATATAGCGCCTATTCTCCCATTGACGATACCAATCAGGTCAACATAGATGATGATATCGCAGGACCGCTGAACAACATTATCAGGATCATCCACGCCGCCGCACGCGTCGACCTTGGCATCGACAGCCCCAACAATTTGATTCTCCATTCCGAGGTCGCCAATGCGTCCCTGGTAACAACTTTCCCTACAACCGACCTCAATCCCACAAACGACACGTCGGCTTCCTTGTTGTTGGACTGGATTAATCCTACCTCTGTTATCAAGCCTTATATTCCTGTCAATGTATCGGGCCCGGCTGAACTTGAAGTGGTTTATCTATGTCGGCTACAGCACCGCAAGGCGGCTGGGCAGTTGTTCATATCAGTGCTTGTGGCGACGTTGAGCATGTTCTCAAGTGGATGGGCGCTTTTCCTCTCGGTGGCTACCATCATTGCCAAGCGTCAAGACACAACAGGTGAGTTCTTTGAAGATCTTCGGTGCAATATTGGCTTATTGTATTGGTGCAGCCAACATCTGCGAAGGCCATTGCGGTCAATGGCACAGGGATGGGGAAGTTATTAACTCTTCTTATTCATACGATTTGCAGAGGAGGCTCGGCCAGAAAGAATACGAACCTGTGGAGAATATACCGTTTGAGCCAATTGAAAATAGGCCACTGCGTTCTGTTCAGAATGTCAACTGAATGAACAGTCATTTGGAAGATAACGACTCTGTATACTATCATCTCTCCTCATCACAATAAGTAATTGTTCACGATGATTGGCATGGCCAGAAAATAACCATAGGTCAATTGTTGGTCAATTGTGCGCTGCCGCCCTTGGGGTGGGTATACGGGCCGGCTGATGGGGTTATGTAAGCAGTAGACCCCAGAGCTTTCCTTTCTCATCGTAAATCAGTACCACGACGTTCCCGGCTGATGGAGTCCCTCAACCTCAATACTCTCGTGAGCTCCCTACCGACGGCCCAGCAAAACGCTGAGAAGGAGTTGCTCAATAATTTCAAAGGTGTGACCCTTCATTTTTCACCTAATGATCTTTAGAATCTTAGATCACTTTTTTTGAACAACAGCCGCGGCTTTGAGCATCACAACTCTCTATCGCTCTTCACGGCAGAATTCAAAGCGTGCTTACAATGCAGGATACGCTGCTGCATGTCAGGATATGCTCAACTTCATCCAGCAAGGTGTCTCGGCTGGTGGCGTCACAGGGCCATCGGACGAGATGGAGGGCGGAGGGATGACGATAGGTAGAGTGATGGACTGGACGGAGGCTAGGTTGGACGCCATTAAAGCTAGAGAGGAGGAGGAAGACGAAGAGGAAGAGAAAGAGAAAGAGAGGGAACGTATACGCCCCACGGCCACGCCAACCTCAGCGCCTACTACAAACCTTGCGGCGAAGCCCGACGCTAGAAAGGCCACTACCTCTGGCACAAGCGCCTCTACTGAACGACCCAAGGTAACAGGATGTTTCTTTCCTTTGAGAAAGTAGTTCATCAATAACATCTTTTTTTTCTTCTTCAGCCATCATCTCTACCAACCCCGCATTCCCCCACAGCCCGATCCATCCCACTCCCTTCGGAACGCTCATCACCTTCTCCCCCTTCAACAACAACCACCCTACGACCAACCCAACGTCCCACAAAGTCTAAACCATCCACAACGAAAGGAGACCCTCCCAATCCATCAGCCTCCCAGGTTCCACCATTCAACCTGATCTCGGAGTCGCACCCACCCACATCACAACCCTTTCCCGACACACCAATCGCCATAGGTGCCGGCGCGAAACGTCGGCATGCAATGATGATGATACTCGATTCTGGTTCAACACCAGTATCAATCGGGGGCTCATCCATGCCCCCGCCCTCCCCCTCCGGTCCGGGCAACATCAACGGAGTGTACAGTGGCTCTCCGAACCACACCGCCGGCTTTGGGATGAACAGACGGCGGACAAGGAGTACTCGGAGTTTGACCCATCAAGCACACCAGCAATCCCAGAATCAGAACATCAACATGATTCAGGTTGCTTCGGAGGCAATGGATATAGAAGAGGACGGAAGGGAACGGAAGCGCGTCGCTAGGCGGTAATCGCGCTTCTCGTTGTACCCTTCAATTCCCTTTCCCCCGTCTACTCAACCTTTGACCCTCCACGAGCATTATCCAACGACCTCCCGGAACAACCTTCAATTTGTATCAACGCATTGTTATCCTCATTGTCACGATATCTCTCCCTCATGCATCCAGATCATTCATCCATTTTTCAAGTAGGATTAGTACACACCCTCTTTATCGATTCACACTCAAGCCATAGCGGTGAATTTGTCTTTCATTTCCATTTCAGACTCTTGATTCCCTCGACTCTTTTCATCTCCCTCTCCCTCTTTTACCAACTTACTTACCAATTACGATTCCCTGATTCCTGCATCCGCTACTAGTAGACATGCCAATGTATCCTTATTTCGTGATGGTGCCCTCCGCTCGATTACAATCGGTCGTTGGTGATCTCAGTGTTTGTTTTGAAAGTAAAAACCAAACACCCCAACTTCTCCACATTTCACATTCGTTGAAAATTGCCCTACGGGCGGACCTGGATACCGCTGTCTCATACAGACGTCCGATTCCAGGTAACACTTCAAAGATTTTTTACGGGGACAAATACAGTACATAGTGTCACGCGATCATCAGCAAGGATGCTTATTCAATTGCAATGATTTACTTGCATGTACTACAACTTGACTGGTTACAGAGTCCCATGCAGGTGACGCCCTGGAGTATACCACTTCAACAGTGACCAATTTTGTCAATGTTCTGAACAAGGGTGGTGAAGTTAACAGATCCCAAAAAAAATGTAGCAGGCGTGGTCGATGTGACAATTTCCAAATGGTCCATCCAGACACATTGATAAGGCTGGTAAATACAAGTCAGTGCATGTAGAATCAAAAGATACGTATCCCTCACATACATTGGCATATGTAAGGAAGCAATTTCCAAACGGTCCATCCAGACACAACTGACTTGTTGTCGCATGGGATGCATCAGGAAACCTACAAGCTCCTGGGCGCGCTGGATTACCTGAATGTGCCTGATCGCCTGGCGGCTTTTGATTCCCAGATGTTTTCCAGGCAATCCAAATCAGCAACGACTTGGCAACCGTGGTTCGTGAAATTTCGACAAGTCCATTCAAACCCCGCTTCTAGAAGAGGCAACAGCGTGATCAATCTCAACATCCACCAAACATCTCTCAACAACCCTTCCTTCCCAACCGACACTTGACCAACACCTTTGCCCCATTGCTTAGCACTGAGCGCCGTCATTCGCGTATAGAGCATAACGAGCGCGAACAACTTGAAGCTATGTCAGTTTAGGTGCAGATCAAGGCAGGTGCATCAATGAATCTCGACGTCATATCAGTATGCTGGAAAGCCTGAACTCAAACACAGGACTCCAACATTCAATACTTCGACACTTGGGGGCCTCGATACACTCAAACACCGAACCCTTCCAAATCCCAAACACCCAGACCGTTCGTCGACCTCCTTATTCTCCCCCCAAGTGGTACTTTCTCAACATTATATTCCTCTTCTCTAGTTGACCCAATCGAATATACAATGCAGAAGCAACCTCATGCACTTTAAAACCCATCTAGCACGTGAACACGGTGCCTTGCTTAACATCTCGGCTGCGCCTTCTCTTCGCCTCAGTGAGTGTTCTGACTGTGACTCGTGAGATGACATGGTGCACATCTTCAAGCGCGTTCCAGGCTAACTTTCTATTCGTTCTTCAGTTGTCCTCTGCTTAATCCTGATATATACCCTGAAGACACCCCAAATCTTCTAGTCACGCCGCCGCCATCGCATGGGGGTCTTTTGGAGGGCTGGTTTGTAAATGAGAGCGTTGGAGCACTGACCCCTGAAGCAGCAGCCGCGCTTTTGTACAATGTCTGGTTTGTGCGACCGTCTTCACCTCTGCCGCGTCCATATTAATGTCTCTTTTGTACTGCAGGGATTGTCAATGGCAGTTCATTTTCCACAGGGGGTGATCAGCCAACTAGCCTGCTGGCGTCGATCAATGGTGGGGAGGGGGCGCAAGTTTTGGGTCATGGGTAGGAGGCGTTCATCAAGAAGGGGAAAAGGAGCAGCGTTTTGTGAGTCCTTTTCTGATTAGGCATTGTGTTGACCTCGCCAATAGCTCTAGTCTGCGGAAATGGTCAATGCATCTGACGAAGAGCCTTACACACTCCCTTGGGGGATTCCTTCTCAACAAGCTCACCGAGATATGAGAGCTGTCTCGAGACTTCGCCTTCCTCCGCCTGCCAACGAGCGGAGCACCAAGCATTGTTGCATTGTCACAGCAAGTCCTCACTTACTCGCTTTTTGGTATCATTGACCTCAATCTTTTGTGTAGAACAATGTCCCACGTCATGGTGACGATCTCGGAGGGTGCCAATCTTGAAATGGAGGAGAGTCTTCGTCGCTGATGCGGTATAACTGGACTGGGAAGTTTACGATACCATAGGGATTTAGTTAGTATACAATATCGGACACTTTTGTAACATTTGGGATAGCAATATATGAATTTCTAATGTGATTACAACCATACTACAATGACTGGAAAACAATCTGGAAGTGCATGCACCCTGCTAAAACCTACTTGGGTTCACCTGGAAAGGTGACTGGCAAGTCTGCATTTGACCTTGAGCCAGAAACGACACCTCATGGCTCCAGGTAACATTTCTGGCTTCCTTATTGACCTGAATTACCTGATTTGGTCTGTTTCCAGGTAACCCAGGCACGTGAACGTTTCCTGATGACTGGAAGTTATGTTGTGATAGTAGTTGTCCGAGTCAGACGGCATGATCATCCTTTGAGGCATGGCGGTACAAATATGCATATATGGGAATACCGTCCGATGGACCATCCGATGGCTGACTATCTCACACTGACCGGCAGGAAACCCACTCATTGTAAATGACGTCATCTGCGCAGGGCCGTCGTGCCTCCCAACTTAAACATGCGCAAGAACCCTGTATCCCAGGGATCGACAGAGGCAGATCGAGTTGCCTGAAATAGTGGCACCATGGCGGCCCATAGCCCAAATCCTGGTCATCAGCAGGGTGTGTCAGCACGAGAGGACATGGTCAAAGGATGGTCACAAATAACAGTAAATTATATCTGAAGGAAGTATTCCATTTCCGAGGTAGTAATGAAAAGTATTGATTGATACATGGCTGGCACACAGACCGATAAACACCAAAAAAGGAAGCGTCTGCAGCTGCCATATCAACTACAGTCTACTTCCACTAATTCTCCACACGAACCAGACATGGTGTCCTGTCGGTTAATATGACATTCTGAAACTGTGTCGGTCTGGCAACAACAGTGCTATGTAGAATTTTGCTGCTGTGCCAACAGGAAACCAGCCCATCATTTCCAATATGATGTCACAGTACTCGATGCCACCAATCCCGACTGCTGCAGGTAACTGCACACTAGGTTGCTGGGTGTTTAGGATCACCACAAGCCGCCTACTCAGCCCTAGGTCATTGCCTGTTCACAAGCCCACCTTCCCACTGCCCTCCCTCTCCTAAGTTGCACCCTGGAATCGATTTAGTCCTATCCATAAGTTGACCTAACTTCTTGTGGTAACGTTACGGCACCTGAGCAAGGACAAGGTTGGAATGCCTGACACCGCTGAAAACGGGTTTCCCCTCATTTTTTAAAAAAAAAGCCCACTGCTGCTCCACACTCCTTCAAATCCAACGCACAGATTTGCCCAAATGTCTAAACCACACTCACACAGTCACTCCCATCCTGCACCTTCACTTGCTGAACATGCTCCACCTCCATGTGATCACTCTCCGCCTCCATACAGGCAGTCATACCTCCAGGGTATCCTGCCATTCTCCCCCCAACCTAGGTTCCCACTCCCTCCAGTCCACAGCAATGCCACCTACGACATCCCTGAAATTGCGAGCCGCCACCTGAGCTAACATGCCATGGCTCCCTTATCCATTACGAGCCCGTTGCCCGTAGCCCAATGTTACATGGCCAACCAGCCCTCCCAGGACATCAAGGATCATCAGCTCTCCCAACCTATCCACCTCTTAGCACCGTACCCAACATTGTGGAGATACAACTTTGCCGAAAGGACGGTCCCTCGGCTTTCACTCCTGGTGCAACAAGCTACTACCAGGAGATACGGGGAGTACGACCAAGGGGTATAATCCAAGCTGGAACAAGGATTGTTTGCCCATCCTTCAAAGGCTGGGGTACAGGACCAACTGATTGTGCACGTATTGCAGTTCGAATCAAAGGGATTGTTGGTAATCGAACGATTGTCCAGCTCGACACTATCCCTAGCTCAGGTGGCGTGGTTCCAGGAGCGGACACTGTCTATGTGTACTTTTTCACACCTTATGTGCGTGTGACTGGTTGGAAAGAGGAAGAAACAGGGAACAATTTTTCCTGGCTGTCTCACAAATTTATTGGCCTCTCTTCGACCTTTTGCATGTAAATCTCCCCTAATTTTCCATATGACCGCGTCTCAGAGCCTGTCTATATTTACTGCCTATCATATACTTTACTCCCCTCCCAACCGCCCCCTTTTCATTTGTTTATTTAGCATATATTTCACAAATGACGAGTTTGAACAACCGTATGCATATTCAGCAATGCAGAAATCCTGCTGAAATATCATAATAGCCGATCTTTTCGCTCAACTCTTTATAGAAGTTTTAATCTGGAGGCTGACAAGCATGAGAACTTACGTCCAGGAACAATATAGTCCACCCTGACTCATCAAAAAATATAAATGTCTGCAACCTTTGCCCTCCACTGTATTTAACCCACATTCCTTCGTACAACCTCTTCACTATACGGCTCATCTACTCCAAAATGCTAGCCTTTACTTCAGGACTCAGGTGCCAGCATTATCTTCCTCATTCAAATAGTGAACCCACACTTTCCGGACACAGTACTTCAGCACCCAAAATGTCCTTTCTATCATTGCCACATCACTCAACTCCCCATGCTGCCAGACGCAATAGCTTACCAAACCGCTGCAGTCTTGCACCACCTATAGGCTACACCAACACCAATTCTGACACCAGTGTTCACTGTGGCACATTCCAAGGAGAAAACTGCCCAACCCATTTCGGCGAGATCCCAGTTGTGTTGGACCATAGAAAAGAGTATCACAACCGCGAGAGTGAAACTCCATCCTATTTTACAAGGTTAACCACCGAATACCAAGCTATAGAAGTTGGCCGACCATGCCAAATTGTCACAGGAACAGAGCTTGCTTGCTTCGACGAAAAAGGTGTACGGATGTACCCCCCCTCAGCTGTCGAGCAATGAACTGCCTTGTCGTACGCAATGGGTTAGCACTCATTGAATGCAAAGTCAAACGTCCAACCCGCCACTATCCAGATGCCTGGATTGTTATCGGATTCCCTTTGGAAGTCGTACGTTTTGACATCACCGATTATATACAACAGATCGGATGCACCTCAATCAATGATCCACCTTCTTCACCAGCCGACCATTTCAGGGACAGTCCACCACAATCTTCCTTTGCATCTTCCCAAGACACCCATGGCACTGGGTGTTTCAGTTGGATGCGATCCATCCTTGGTTTGTAGAAAAAATCTCTGTGGACATGGTGTATTGCAGGAGGCGACAATGTGTATGTCATTTCATTACGCATATCTTCATAAACAAGTCATTGATCGTGAATGGCATCATAGTTTCGTCAAGTTCATGAGCTAGAAAGCGGATGGATGGAAATGTCTTACTTTCCTGTATATCCTTATCTCCGTAACATATCATCACCAT